TATCAATCATTAATGCAGAATGGCTGGAAAAAATGAATATTAAGTCTTTTTGTTCGGGGATGACTATATGGAACAAGGGACGGACAAAAAGAGATGATTGTGAATCTGTATTGGATGGTTTTGTCTATGTGGAACATAAATTAATTTTGATACAAGCCACAATCTCAGGATAATTACACGCAATACACGCTCTATATACATTCACCGTGCTTATTTGTATATATAGTCAGCTAAGAGTCTTTCCTCTCTAAGGCTCTTTCATCTCCACACTTTACTACACACCTCAGATCCCTCGTCAAGGGGTGAATAAATGTTTTTTTTCTTTCTTGGTGAATTTATTCAATTTCACTCAATCAATTGGCAAAATCTAAATTTGTATTAACAAAATAATTATTTTGTCACAGTTTCAGTTGATTTTCTTGGTATTTATTGAAATTTTTTTTGTTAATAAAATATGGCAAAATTATTAGAAATGTGAAAATATTATTTTTCAACATTCATTTTTATTAGTCTTCGAGGACATTTTATTCAAATAAGTTCTAAAAATCAAGTTTTCATCTTAAGAAAAGTGAAGAATTATTCACCCCTTGTTCGCCATTCAGCCATGTATGGGGAGAGTTAAAAGCAGCCAGTAGCAGATTGAGTCTTTGCCTCTCCTCAATGGCACACGGAGGAGTTGTCTTGAGAAATCGTTAAGGAGGTATAAACTTGTTTAAATGCACAACATTCGCCTATTTCGCATTTATAATACTGCCGAAGAGAGAGAGAAATAATTTCGGAATAGGAGAATATAGATAATTCTCTATCTCACCTTACATTAAGATTTTCGTACACTCTGTCCGCCTCCCCGGGGCTGTGAACCACCCTCTGGGGGGTGTCTGGAGAGGAGGATTTCCGTGGAGGTGACTTTGAAAGGCAGTACTGTGAATGCTGCCAGAGAAGCAGAAGAGATGACGAAGGGATTTTGCAGAATGGATCTTAAGGATCATGGGACAAGATAGGAATTATTTCACCCTCTCACACCACATTCAATTCCACCCTCAAAACACCGTTCAGACTCTGCTTCTCTCTCTCAGAATGTCTAATTTATAAATATTCCATTTACTAATCCAACCAATTTGACAATTGATTGCATGGAAGCGTCAGAACAACTGCAAGATCTCTTGTAGAAACACTTTTATTCCACGAAGGGGGTGTTTAAATCAAGGGGCAGATATTATTAGCGGAAGTGTTTTGAATTGGAGGAATCACAAAAGCTTCTGTTTCAACAAATTGAAGCATTTTCCAAGTTATTTGGCTTAGAAAAGTCAATTTTTTTTGGCTTTTTTAAGTTATGTTGTAGATTTAAAACTGATTCTGAGGGTAAAATAACCCTCAAAATCAATAAATTTGTGTTTAACTTTGCATTAATTCTGTTTATATCTGAAAAATTAACCATTTGTGTTGAAAAAATTTCAAATTACCTTAATTTCAATAGTAAGAAATAGCCTAAAAGTTAATCATAACCTCAAAAATATCATTTTAGTGTAGAAAAATGTCTCTTTGCTTCTGTTTTTTTCCCCGATTTGTGCTCTAAATTGGCAAATTACCGTGATATCGCTATATTTACCCGTTTTAAATGTTTAAAATTAGTCCAAAAAGGACTTTTTCAGTTGGATTTATAACCTCACAATTCAAAATAATGAAAATCAAGACAGAAATTAAGGCAAAAAACCAAAACAGTCAAAGGAATTGAAAATATGAGAATTTTTTAAAACGTCCAGAAGTCATTTCAGTCATATTATCTCCCCCTTGATTTTAACTATAGAAGAAATATAATTTCACTTTTTAAAAAAAAAAGTCTTCAAAGCTGTTCTTCTTCAAAAGCAGAATCAATGATAAACTTCACTTAAGATCCAATTATCGTGTGGAGAACGTGTATAAAATTACAAATACAAATTACTTTCTTTTGTGACATCAAAACCAGCTGAAACTGTTAAGAAAATGTTCTGTTTTTATCTTGCTGCTCAATGTTGTAATCTTTTACAACGGTTCAACAAGTTTTCTGCCAGCAATCAAACAAGATTGCAAAATTATTCCATTCATATTTTGAGAGTGCACTGTAATGAGGCAAGATCGATAGAGAGAGATTTTTTGCTCTGACTTTTTTCACTCTTGTACGCGAGAAGTCGAGAGAGTAACTGTGCACAAGTGGACACTTAATTATAAGACGCGCGCAATGCTTGCTTCTGAGAATGATCCACATATCATCTTGATTAAATTCAACTCCAGATAGCTCTGAGATGCTTTATGATCTTGCATCACGTCAGGCATTGGTGATTCATTATTGTGTGCATAATTTATGCAGTGCCGAAGAAGTTGAAGACCCCTTTTTTTTTTAACTATGACGTCTTGAAGTCACTTTTGTCTATTGGATTTTCTCAATGTGTAAAATTCCCCTGCCAAGGATTTGACGGAACATTCATATAAACACACGCTGTTTGCATGAAAAGGGAAATAAATTATTCAAGAGTTATTGCAGCTTCTTTGTCGATTTTTTTTCTCCTTTACTTCAGTCTTGTTGGCCAACAACAACAATCCAAAGAACTTTGTAAGTGGCTCAGAAAGGGCAACGAGAGGGTTTGTGCAAATGTCTTAGCAATAAATTTGCCAATAATTTAGTTTGTGCAAGTATATTGAAGTGATTTCATTGGTCTATGATATCTCTCTGTGTCGCATTGTTATTCCTTCGTCTCCACACCATTTTCGCCAAGGGGAAGATAATGTGGCTAAAGTCTGTACACCACTTCCTGAACACTTCCCAGGGCTTAGCGATTAGTGAAATCGGTCAAAAACTAACTGAAATCTAACTGAAAACTAAATATTTTCAGTTTAGGCGCAAGAATTTCTTCTTTAAGATGCTATATAGTCACAAATCAGTCACATAACGTAGAAAAATATATGAAAATATTGCAAAAATTGATACACTTTGACATCCCACTGTATTATCTCCCCCTTGATTTGTTCCGGGATTCACTCCGACCCCAGAAGCGCCTTGGAAAATCAATATTGAGCATCTCCTACTTTGAATAAATTGTAAACTATTGGATTCTTTTCAATTTCTTCACTCCTTCCCAAATCTCCTCTTTCTTCAATTTTGTATCGACAGTTTTATGAATTTTACCAGAAATTATGGTTCTCGTTAGTCTTCTTATGGGTTTTTCTATATGCGTGCACGTCTTCTGTTATTGGAGCAAAAGTGGGTGTATTTATTGTTATCAAAATTGGGCTATTTTGAGTGCATTTGTGATTAGTTCACATTGACGAAAAAAAAACCACCTTCTGGACTTCTTGGAATCACAACAACCACACAGAAAATCCCATTCCCTGCCTCGTTCTCTGCTCTGTCGCCTTTTCCCGCATCAGCGTCTTGACAGAATACTTCATATCCACTAATTGTGTGAGAATCGGGACTAATTTTCAATTCAACTTGTTGCGTGATCTCGAATATAATTGTAAACCTAAAAGATGTGTAATTCTAATTAACAACTTGTGGTCGCTCTTCTGGTCTGTAATGGAGAAAAATAACGGTGGGGGGGAGGGAACATGTCCACCCACGGACAATTCTCAACTCTCCACAATTAATTCACTCGCCTTTTCTGGGCCTTTGCCGCTTGTGTGATTCACAACAGTGCACAAAAGCGCCACGAACATCGCCATGTTACCAAATTTTGTGTCGATAAATTCCATTTTCAGCTAATTCAAAATTAATAACAGAAGAAAACGATTTTTTTCGGACTCTTCATTCAAATTAAAGAAGAATTTTGCCGAGGTGTTGAAAAGTTTATAGAATTTATTTGAAACAAGAGTGAGATAATGTGGTACAATTTAGCGATAGTAATTAAGATGTGTTTCAATATTTGTAAAACAAAAAAAATCATAAAAAAATTTTCTAGGTTAAGTGATTCAATTATGTTAGACTGAGTATTTAGATAATTCCCAAACACATTTAATTATGCTAAAGTCAAAAATAAAAGTGAAAAAATGAATCTGTTTTTACGCTAATTTTAGGTATTTTCTCAACAAGTTTTTAATTAAAAATTTCAGTGTTATGATTACAAAAGAATTATGATTGAGAAACATCAAAAATTTATTCTTCGGAAACTGATCAATTGAATTATTTGCTGAGAAAACAGAATTTTTTTAGCTGAAGAAATAACTTTCTTTGCTATGTTTTTGAATCTTGACATTCTGCAAAATCATGCAAATACGAAAGTGTATGATTAAGTTAATTTGTGGGGATATTTTCTCGGACAACATGAGAATCTCGTGTTTGATGGGCATTTAATGCACCTCCTGGGCCAGTTGTAGTCACTCACTTATTGATATTTATACATTCATACTCTAATGCTGTCCGTCATGGTTGTTTCTGTCCGAAGGGCTGTGGCATTAGCATTGAGGAGTAGTGGCGTCGAGAGACGGGAAAAGTGAGATGAGTAAGTGATTAAGTGCAATGGGAATAATTAGAGGAGAGCCAGTGGGAAGGGGGGAGTAATTAAATTTGTCATGAAACGCAGTGTGGATGCTGAAACGTGTGCGAGCCCACGAAGGTCAATGTACAATGAAATTTAAGTCAACAATTATATCAGTTGTCTCGACATTAAATGCTCTTTCCCAAGGAATAATCAACTCAACTTGCACTTTACATAATTCATCTTACACGCGGCCAAACAACCGCCAACAGAATTAGATGAGAGTGAGAATTGTAAGAAGAAAACTTTGCGGAAGACATTCCCACGAATTGTGATATTTCTTACACATTTTTATACATCACACATATATATATATATATACATATGTGTGTTTTCCTGCGCAAATAATTAACCTCAGTTCTAATTCCAACTCTCTTTTGCCTCTTCTCTTCCACCGCGGGCTGTCTAAGCAAAGAATAATATGTTTTAGAGTGGAAAATGAGCTGGGAATTACAAATTAAAATTATATATCTACATCTTCTCTTGCAGTGCTATGTGCAGTGCCAATTAGTGTGGCTGGTCAACAGCAGAAGTTCCGAATTGTCCCACAAGACCTGCAAGTCCTCGAGGGCTCCGAGGCGCTGCTGAGGTGCGAAGTTCAAGGCCTCGCGGGACAAGTGCAATGGACCAAAGATGGATTTGCACTGGGTGAGTTGAACTTGATGAGAATCACGCGCAATTTCACACCCTTAACTCACTTTCTTGATTTTTATTTGAATTCTTACTATTTTCTCCACAAATTGCCGCCAGAGGGCAGCAGTTTAAACACCTCTAAATAATCTGTTAACATTGTTAAATACTCAAACTCCCGAAAAAGTGAAATTTGTAAAGTATATTGAATATATAAAATAAGTTTTTGATTATAACAGTTTAACATTTCTGGTGTTTGACTGAGAATTGATACGTAAATTTTCAATGGCCAAATTTACCTTTGGGAAAACCTATCTAAACTTTAATATGACTTTAAAAACTTAAATAGCTGAGCAGATGATGATGAAAAAGAGCTTTTTGTACGCGAAAAGCTTCATTTTTGTATGTAAATTTCCTTTTCTCCTGGCTAGGATCACGCCAGGAAGTCACAGAGTGTGAAAATGCGTATGAAGAGAGAAAAATAAATATATACTTAATTTTTAAATTAATATTCAGAATATATTTAAATATAATTTGATTTATTCTGAATATTTGGCTGAAAATATAAAATTTTCGTGTTATTTTGCAACTTAACGTGGAAAATAATCATTTTTCCAAAGTACAAATCGATATATTAATATTCGATTGAGGCCATTAGCTTTCCTCAGAAGTTGGCCAGTGACTTTCCCCTTATTTTTTTGAATATTATTCCATTGCCTTAGCGACAAATTTCCCTGACATTTGTCCAACATATTCTTCTCTGCGTGACGCACAATATTTTGGAATTAAATTCACACTGTTCGAGTTTGCAAGGGCTGTGATGAGGGTGTGAATGTCCCTTGAGTGTCATAAAATAGCGTCACTCACGTGGATTTTTGCCATTTGCAAAAATCAACCATTTTGAATACAAAAAGAAGAAAAAACATCTAAACTTTAAACACACGCAAAAGATTACTTGCAATTTTTTTGTCCGAAAAGTGTCTCGACGTTCCACGAAATCAACCTGGTTTGAAACATAAACTGGAGCATCAATTTTCTTTCACATCATTGTGATTTTCTTCTCATTTACAGATTTTCCCACGAATTTACACTGAATTGTGGGTAATTTTTTTCTTACACCCGCCCAAAATAAAAGTCACGTCCAACGTATCAGTGTAATTTGATAGTCATTAATTTGGCAAAGGAGCTTTTTAGGGTTTGACAGAAAATTCTGCTTAACATTTAATCAATTTAACGTCGTTTATCGGGATTTATCAGGTTGTGAGAAGGAGAGTTTTAATTATGCATAAAGCTGAAAGAACTACTCATTAAATTGATGGTTTAATTAAACTGTTGCATTGGAAATTTCTAACTAAGAAGAAAAATTCATTAAACTCATTTATCCATAAAGATTGATGATCAAAGGCAAAATGTTTGTTATTAATATTCACTTTAATCTCGCTCATCAAATGCCCGGAAATTGATGAAAATTATTTGTACATCAAATAAAACTTTGTATTCATTTTGTATACAGAAATGAAAATGAAAATGGCGTTTAATACTCAAGTGAACACACACACTTTGAGTGCGCGATTATTTGTGTTAGCGAGAAACTCATTAACTCCTTCATTTATCATTGGATATCTTTATTTTTTCAATAAATCCTCCGCAAACGCTTCAACCTTGACCTGAAAATAGTAAAACGAAAAAAAGCCCAATTATAATGATATTTTCCGTACTTTGCCTCCCATCTTTTGGACCATCTGTGCGGTTTGATGGTGTAATTATATAGTGATGCCACAATTTCAGGGTGGAAATTCATGAATTCCCACTTTGATGCCCATTTTCCCTTCATTGGCTGGCAATTGCACATCAATTTGCTGTTCATCTGTGTTAATTAGATCACTTTTTCTATATTCAGGCTTCTCTGCTGTGATTCCGGGCTATCCCAGGTATTCGGTGCTGGGCGACAGGACTCAGGGCGTCTACAACCTGAGGATCTCCAACGCCTCGCTGGAGGACGATGCTGAGTACCAGTGCCAGGTGGGACCGGCCAAGCTGAACTCTGCAATCCGAGCGAACGCCAAGCTCGTTGTCATATGTGAGTAATCTTCATAAATAAACTACTGTAATCTAGTGTACAGTGTGAGCCAATTGCGGAGGCGGAATCACACAAATTCCCCGCAAAACAACACGATTAATACACTGAAAGGGCAGATAATACAGTCACAAGTGTTGAAAAACCTCAAATTTCCACGTTTTTAAGGAAATAATCGCCATTTATGTGTAAAATTTAGCATTTGCAAGCAATAAACATTGTTATTCTGGTTCTTTATTGCCAAGAAATACTGAAAATTGTATTAAAGTCGAACATAACCTCAAAAATAGTTACTTTGAAACCTTTTTAGACGATTTTCCAAGAATAATCAAGTTGAAAACCAATTTACGAAGATTTTGCTCTTGAATATAAACAAAGAAGTCTGAAATCAAGATTATTCGATTTAAAATAATATATTTTTGGTATAAGTGAACTGAAGTCTTTTTTCAAAAATTTCAATGATTTTGATTTTTTTTTGGAACTTCACAAAAATACGATTATATGAAGAAGTCGCTTGAAATACTTGAAGTCTTTAAATGATGTGGAATAATCAGCTAAAATATTCATATTGGAAGTTAACTTATTTTAAGAAAACTGTAGAATTTTAATGAGTCTTTAGAATTTTGCGCCAAGATATACCAAAAAAACATGAAAATATGCTGGGAAAGGTCTTAATTTCTTGAGGAAAGCATAAAATTATGCCACGATGTGTCGAAAAGTACTCAAAAAGTGGGCATTTTAGCCAAATTTCAAGAATATGGTGTTTTTCTCAATACCTATCAGTTCAATTGGCGCTCACTGTGTGGCGGAATATTGAATAGAGTTTTTTTGTGTGTGTGTGTGCGAATTAACAAATCAACTGGACATAATTTATTTGATTCCGCGAGCAGAATTCGCATCGCGACTGGAGAGTTTTGTTATATATGTGTTCCTCTGCAAAATTCATCCATTGACATTTTTCGGGGGGAAAACGTGTGAAGTGATTCGCGTATGAAAATTCACCCTTATTGATTACCATACATGGCGTTGTATATCACAAAGTGGCAATCTATCATTAAAATTTATTACTCATCCTCCATGATGGCGGAAGCTGAGTTGAGAGAGATTCATTTTGCAGACACTTTTTGCCAGCTTGTATTTACTCTTTTTGTCGTTCATCAAATTAAATCCTCAATATTATTTCGATATTTTCACCTGTGTGTTGTCCGGAACAACACTCCATAAAGTCACACTTGTAACTAATTAGATGCCTTAGAAGGCAATCAAGAGGTGTTTTTGGGATTTCTCCCCTGTTTTTCACTCTTTCGGTTCAACACTTGCGCGTTTTCTGACAGACAGACAGATAATAGCGCGAGTAAAATGCAATACAAGAGATTTTTATAGTTAACTCTGTCTTGTGTTTATATGCTCAGTTAGGCGCAATTTCATAGTCACTGATTTATACACTGTGTGTGCGCGATTTTTACACTTTATATCCAACTCTCCATGGGAAATGCAAATGAAAACAATATCAACTGAATAAAGCATTGTGCGATGGTTTTTTCTTGTAAATTTCAAGCGCAACATGCATATTAAATTGAATTGAACAAAGTTATATAGATTAAAATGCATAATCAAACTAATCTTCCTGGATGATGAGCGACTTAAAGTGACTAAAAGGTAAATAATCGAAGAGAAAAATACTAAATATGTGTTTGGTGCAAAAATTAGGAGAAGGTTATTATTAAATATTCTAATATTATTAATTATTCGCATTATTAAAAAAAAATCTTGTATGTGAAATAATTGGGAAGATTTTCCTTGACATTTCCCAATTTTACACGTGGTTTTAACGTAGAAATTTCATAGAAATGAAGTGAATAACACTTCTGGCCATATTTTCTGCCCCTCCTTTGAGTGTGCACAGTTCAATTGCGCCACCCTGTGTGCGGAGCTTAAAGGAGGAAAGGTAATGTATCAATTGTGCTTAATGAAGTGTAAGAGAGACGCGGAGGGTGGCAAACAAGTGAGCCCCAGATGAGGAGAAAGAGACTTTGAAGGCCCTGAAAGAGTCGCAGAAGGATTTGAATTTCATCATGAAATTCAATTGGATAAAATTTTGTCAGTTTTCTCACGCGTGCTTCCTTTGTTTGTTCTAGCACCGCCATCTCATATTGAAATTGAGGGATATGCTCACAATTCCAAGGTGGAAGTGCGGCAGAATCAGGATCTGACGCTCACTTGCATCGTGTCAGACGCTAAGCCACCGGCTCAGATTCAGTGGTTTCGTGGAAATGTGGAATTTAAGCCTGGTAATTACATTATATTCTATATAGAGTATTCAACCCACCCACCTTTTCCACCCTCCCGGAAAACCTCATTTTTCCTTCCCATTTACCCGCCACTGTGGATATTTAAATCAGGCACACGAAATTCACTGTAATTCACTGAAGCACTCGGAAAAAAATACTCCTGCAACGAGATTACATTAAAATTACACTAAAATTACACTATTTTTCCATTAGAATCATTCACAATCGCTTGAAAGATTCACTTTTTACGTGAAGTCTGTCAAATGTTTAATTTAAAAATGTCCTATTTTCTCGGTGTCGTTTTACAGAGTCGTTGAACGACTCTGTAACAATGTCATACAAATCATGATTTCAATTTTGTGCCAAAATTCATGTTTTTTTTTTACTTCTTATAAGACAATTTTCGCGTGTTGTTGAACGATTGTGTATTTTCCGTAGAAAATAGGGCAATTTTACTGTGATTCAAACTGTGGTGTTTTTGATAAATTTCCAGGTAAAGAAAAGACAAGATTACCCTCAAGAGAGTTTATCGTGTTTGCCAAGATATGGTAAACATGGTGTTTTTCCGAGTGCAACAGTGGTGAAAGAAATGAAAGAATCCTGCGAATCTCAGTCTCTTACCTTTTCATAGTTGTTCTCACACTCACAAATTATCTTCTCTTCCCTCCTGAACTAGACAATCGGGATGACAAAGTGACACAGACGCATGGAAAGCGGTATACAACCACATCCCTCCTCCGGTTACACCCTTCAGCGGATGATGACTACACAGAATACTCGTGTCAGGCCAGACACAAAGCCCTACAATCTGATATGCCAATGCGAGCGACTGTCCAGCTTTCCGTTCTGTGTAAGAGGAATCTCACTCTCTGTCCATCCCCTTGTATTCCACCCCCAGCGACAGTCCTCGCCGCACTCATATTACAAATAATTAGGCGGTGTTTAGTGTGATATTTAGCTCATCATTTTTTCCACCCCTTTGTTTGTCCACTTCACCCCCAAACACACAGACACTTTGATGGCTCACGCGAATCTCCCTTCCACCCCCATTTAATTATAGATCCCCCCGGAGCGCCGTACATCGAAGGCTATCAGCCCGGCGAGACGCTGCGCAGGGGACAGAATGTTGAGCTCGTGTGCAGAAGTCGCGGCGGCAATCCGCCGGCGCAGCTGATTTGGTACAAGAACGGCGTCCAAGTTCGCATGGCTTACAGGTTTGTCACCCAAAACACACATTCCAACCATGAAATATATATTTAAAGGGGTTGCTAATGTGGGAAATGCAGAATTTCGTGAATCTGGGGATTTTTTAAAGCAATTTGCTGAAAAGCGTATAATAAGAAATGCAACAATTGACAAGTGTTTTGAGGCGAAATGAAAATTTGAGTAGAGATTTAGTGGAAAATTGCGATGAGAAAAGAATATTTCTTGGTGGTTTGGTAAAGAAAAAAAGGCCACGGAAAAGTATTTTTCAAAAATTTCCAATTTCAAGGAATTCCCGAATAAATCTCATCGATGCTGAGGCATTGAAAACCCTCGATTAGCACCCTCTTGTATTATTTTGTCAAATGCTTTGACACAAATATTACATTTTCGTAATTATACTGACATTGCCTCCGGACTTTCTCACTGAAATCATGGAATTTCAATTAACTTTCGTCGTGCAGCATCATTTAAATTTATTCAACGGTATTTGTTTGCCCTCAAAGGCCATCAGAGGGACTTTTCCATTATCACTCTGGCATTGGCAACGGTGCAGGTCGCGAAGAGCATTTCGCGTTGTCAAATATTGTCTTTGAGAATGGCAAAAGCCTCACAGGATGCAATTTATCATTAATTAATTCCAATCCAGATTTATTGCGACGTGCATTGGGAGATGCGAAAAATCATCCCTTAAGCTGCAGAATTTTAAGGGCAAGAAGTGAAAGTGAGACAGAATTAGTCAAATTGTGTTACATTCGGATCTGCAAGTGACTTTTAAGGGATGGTCTCGGTTTTCCTGGGGTGATTTTCAGTGGTTAACCGAATTTTGGGGGACAGAAATGAGTTGTGTTGGTTACTTAAAGACTTTTGGACACCAAAATCAATAAAAGCGTCTCACTTTAAAGTCAACTTGATACAGTAAGAATTATTAGTCATTTCAACCCTTTGCCTCGACTCAATTTCGACTCTCTTTCGACTCTTTCTCTGACTGGAGAGTCAAAGATACTTCCAGAACTACGGCAGTGCTTTAAACACGAGTTTTTCTTATTTTCTTATCCTTTTTAATTATCTTAAAGTGTCATAACCTCAAATTTAGGAGTTTTTGTCCGTAAATAACGCAATTTTTTACAATATTACAATTGTAAGATCGTAAAAACTTCGAGGGAAACAGTATTTTCGAAATATTTTTTAAGTTTCAACCAAATATTGGGATGAAATTTTATTCTCAAGAGCTCCTTTTGACGTTCTTTCAAACATAACCTACAAATTATCTTGAGATATTTCAAAGAATCCGTGAAAGAAACTTATTTGGAATATTTTAAAGACAAATCTGGTGAATATTAATCCGATTTAAATCGACAATCAACTGAAATTTGCTACTTTAGAGTAAAGAAATCAATCAAAAAGCTGTAAAAATTGCCAGTTTTGTGTTTAAAACTAAAAATTTTGAGGTTATGATCAATTTGAGCAGAAATATTAAAGTTTATCATTGAAAACTTGTTATCTTTATCATGTATCTTTTTATTAAAATGTATGAATTGATGTTTTCCGATGTTATTTAATGACCAAATTCTGGTTAAAGTCAATTTGACATAACCGAAACAAGTCCTATTAGTTGTTGAAATGACTGTCGTATTACTTCGTTACGACTGTACAATTCAATAGTTAAATTTACTTCTTCTCCCAACCGACATCCGACTTGATGTCGACTGTCGCTTGACTGTAAAGCGACGTCGTCACGACATCGTAAGCGAGTCGGCTGAAAATTGAGTCGAGCAATGTCATTTGGGCAGTTCATTGGACAAATATTGCGCGGTTTTCACAACTGATGACGCGACATCAAAGAGACACTTGTCCAATATTTGTAATCAAACCATATGTTTGGATTTTCAAATTGCATCATGATTGATGTTTGGAACTTCACGACGTCCTTCATAACATCCACAGGCGACCAATAAAATGTCGCGCTGACTTTTTCCTTCTCTCATCTGGAAGAAGAAAAAAAAAGCCTCTTTTACACAAACATTATGTCAGCGGATGCATGAATTTTTGGGGGGAAAAATTTACGCAATCACCTTTTTCTCGCGCGCGCGCGCCCTTTTATTAATAATTCCCCAAATTACTCTATTCTCTTTTCTCCTTCGTGTCTGTTTTCCAGAACGGCCGGAAGATTGTCTGAAAATATTTACACATTCACTGCAGAAGCAAGTGATAATAAGGCGAGATTTCGATGCGAAGCCAGCAACATTATGTCTCAGGTCCCATTGAAGGCCGAAGTGGATCTCACTGTGCTGTGTAAGTATGACAAGAGAGGATTCTTCTCTTGTTATCCTATTTATTCTGTGCATCACAATTTTTCATCTCTTGTTTTTCCATCGCGTGGCGAGAAGAAGAACTTTTCAACGTTTCTGCACCAGTTCAGCTGGTCGTTATATCTTCTCTCTCACGTCTTCTTTTCTTCTTCTTCTAATTTTAGTCGCTCCCACGCACGTAACGATTTCGGGGCCCTCAGAGGCCAGAGTTGGTGATGTTGTGCCGCTGCAGTGCAGCACGGCGCCGTCAAATCCACGTGCGGAAATCAAATGGATGGTCGGTGGGCAGCTCATTAAAAATGCATCTTCAAGAACTGTTGTCAGCTCCGAAGGTATGATCAATTTCCTCCTATTGTCCAGTGAGAGAGCACAGAGTGGCACTTCCACTCTTTCTCTAGATTGACGATGACGAAGAGAGGAAAAGTGTTGGATTTCACCGCTCTAGTCATTCTTTATGACACCACATATTAATTATTTCTTCATCATCGCGTCCATTAACCACCAATTACAATGAATCTGCGGCGGAGTAGTGATTTGTGGGTCTTTTTAACAGTCATCAATAAATTCTACATCAATTAATTCTTTATCCACTAAATTATGAAACAATTTCATCAATGCTAAATTTGGCATCTTATAAGATGGCCAAAGTTGAAATCATTTTAGACTTCTATCAGAGAAAATTGAGATGATGTTAAAATATAAATGAATGAGATTGATTAAGAAGCGAAAACAGCCAAAATCTCAGCTTTTTTGCATCTCTCTTAGAATTGTTGTCATTAAGATCAACTGGAGTTTATTTCAGGCACAATATTGAACTTCTTTTTGCAAGATTTTCACGATTTCCAGCGTAAAATGCAAAAAATCATTTGAATGCAGCTTTAAGCGCGTGCGCAGCTTATGCTCTATGGCATGAGAATGCGAAACTTGTTGAGAAATAACCCTGTTTTTCAGGCAGATGGAAAAAAATATCGCTTTAGTATATATAAGGGAAATGTAGCCCCAAAAGTATTCTACATATAGGAAAAATTATCTGACTTAAAAGTTCTTTCGTGTCGGAGATATTTAATATAATTTCGCCAAAAATCCGGGGAATTTTTGTCGAGTGACGCTCAAAGGACATTTCTTACTAATAAAAAGTGATCTAAAATCTCCATAATATTTTACAAAATTGTAGATAATTTGAATATCTCTCATTTGAGTCTAATTTGGGGAAAATTCGTGGAAAATTGAGGGAGATATGTGCATTTTTATGCGTCAAAGTCAGGGAAAATGGATTCTTATGTTATAAGATATGATTGCAAAGTTGCATTGGAGCGTTAAAATGTCATCTAGAAAATCCAGCACTCTTTCTCTCTCTCTCGACATCTCAGCTCTGATTCCCCTTTTATTGAATTAAAGTTGAGAGTTGAATGAAATTATCGAATATGCGTGTGAGATGCGGGAAAAATTGATTTAAAACTCCCGCTGAACCTTTTGTAGGTGGATGGATCACAACGTCGAACATTACAGCAACGGTGGAGCCCAATAAGCGATCTCTGGTGGTCATTTGCCATGGCCTGAATATGCAGCTCTCGGAGAATGTCGTGTCCACGCACACGGTGAACATATTATGTAAGTATATGGCTTTTGTGTGTGATCTGGTGGGGAATTTGCATCATTAATATGATTTCCGTGTTCACAATTTGTCGCTCCTTTGCTGAAAACCACTGCAATTGCATCCGGAACTCACTTTCCCACTCTCTCTCTCGCCCTCACTGTGCAGATCCACCGTCGCCACCCATCATTTCTGGCTACGTGGAGGGCTCAATAATTCCGGCGGGATCAGTGCAGAAGCTGCTGTGCGTCTCGTCCGGAGGCAATCCACTGGCGTCACTCAATTGGTACAAGAATGACAAGAAGGTAATATTCGTCCGAATCATGGCGCAAAAGTGTTTCATTTCAAACTTTTGTCACACTCTCAACAATCCATTGCAGATCAATTCCGTTGTGCGAACGACTGACAAATCCGTGTCGGCCGAATTGACGATACTTGCAAATGTGACTGATAATCAGGCGAGATATCGATGCGAGGCCCACAATAGTGCCACAGAAATTCCACTCTTTGAGACTAAAACGCTGAGTGTTCATTTTGCGCCGGAAACTGTGAAAATTCACATCGAACCGGAAGAACTGAAGCCAAATGTGATTGCTACACTCTTTTGTGACTCCAGTTCCAGCAATCCGCCGTCGAAAATTACTTGGTGGCGTGATGGAATTCCCGTTGAAGGTAATATTTCCACCCTTAATACTGTTTGTGTGTGTGACTCGAGGGTTGCTCAAGTTGCGGAAAAGTGGTTTCCATTCCTGGAATATTCTTCGACATGATTACAAAATATTGTCATAATGTCCTTTTCCACCCTTTTTCCACAATACACGCTTGGAAAGCTGCTAATGTCGTAGTTTCGCGTCTTTTTTCCTTCGCAAACTTGCCGTCATGAGTTCGAGTCCAGCTCGTGGCAAGTTTTTTTTCACATATTTTCCTGTTTTGGCCTTTTTTCATGCCACAATTTAACCAATTGGCTAATTTGGGGAGTTTAAACACCTCCCAATAAATAATCATCCGTCAAAAAACCCTGCAAAATGTTATTTGTGAAGCTGATGAATTTAAAAAATCGAAATACTGTCGGTTATCGACATTCAGACGTCGGAGAATTCAATCTATCGTCACAAAAGCATGTTCTTGTGAGTGATAAATAAATATATTCTATATATTCTTCTTTAAAAATTGCACTTGGAAATTCCTTTCATTCTTCTATCTCAGGTTAACAAGCCATGTCCGTCACACATTCTGCGTATTTCATGGGATTTTGACTTATATTTCCATTCATTCCAGGATATTCTTAAATATTCCGGTTGAAATTGTTCATTCATTCCTCAATTGAGCAACCCTCGATGTGTATAACTTACATATTTCATATAAAGTCTTGCTCACTTTGCCATTCAATCCTGATCACAATGAAAATTCTCTCTTTCCCTCTCGAAAGGAGCGAAAGTTTTTCACAAGACGCGCACGTTCTTCTAAAAGACTCTCAATAAATAATGGTAACTTTAGTAATTCTGCAATCCTTTCGTCGCTCATCGACAAATTCACATTCTTTCACACAAAGCTGTGAAGGCCCGAAATTAATTCTCCCATGATTGAGAGGCGCATATAATGAGTTAATGCACCATATTAATACTGTAATCACTGAGGTGAGAAGTGCTTTTGGGCAGTGGCACTGCTTAGGGATTCAAGACAAACACCCCATGTAATATTTGGGGTGGTTTGTGGATTTTGCACATGCTTCAGGAATACTAAAACTTTCATGTCACTCCATTGTTTATATCGACTAACAGGCAGCATTTCGACAGGATTTGTTGAAATATCAATGAAACCACAAATTCAGAATATATCGATGGGTGCATTGAAAACTAGTTAAGAGTCAAAATCACTATTAAATTGATTAAATTGATCAATTCCGATGATTTTCCATAGCTGTCCAAGTTGATTTAATTAATTAATTATTGAAATATTGGCTAAATTATGGAAAAATTGATAGACAAACTCACGATATTAATTACAAAAAGTTCGTAAAAAGCCAAGTTTTAACATTTTTCCTGTACATTTTGTTTAGAATTTATAGGATTTTCAACTGCAATTGTCAGATTTTTCCTGTGAATTATGATTATGTGACTCGTTTTTTTTTTTTTCAAATTTCCACCATACAAAATTATGCCTAACTTAATGTTCAATGAATGAAATTGATTTAAAGGAATAACTAAAGGAAAAATACCCATTTGTATGAATTTCCATCAAATATTTTTATACTAATTTTTACTTTCAAATTATTTATTTTCCCAAATATAATGAAATATTTTCAGAATATTGAATAAAAACACAAGTTTAAGCAGCAAAAATGTCACAAAAAGTGCCAAAAGTTGGATTTTAACACCTAAAATTAGTAGGAAATACAATCGGAACTGAAACATGCCTTTAAAGTTTAAATTGCTGCCCTCTGGCGGCAACTTGTGAGGAAAAAAATTAAATATTTTTTGGAATAAACGGAAAAAAGATTGAATAATACCAAAATAAATCGTCTGAAAGATGTTAACATCTATCCAAAAATACATAACACGACTTTCGATAGTTTTCTCGGCACCCGTCGATATGTTAACTTTGCCAAATTCCCCACATCAAAAATATCACACACATCGTGATTTACCTTTTCTGCGTGCAGCAGATTTGACCCTTACTTGTGGACCGGCTCAATTCCACCGCGTTGTGTTTGTGTGTCTGTTGAGAACATAAATCAAACATATTTTGGGGAGGGGGGGGGGGGAAATTGGAACATTGATAAGGAGCAAATATATCATATTTGAATTCGCAGGTGAATAAATAATTGAACCGAAACCTAAAGGTATTTTCTGAAGTACGGCAATTTAATAGCGTGTGTTATTCAATAATTTCCCGTAGAGTGATTTTTGAATTTTATCCCACGTTATTAATAGCATATTTGACCTGGCAGATTAATAGCACTGCCAAAAGGTCAGTGATTTCATTGGTGGTCTCATCGAGTATCATACAACATTCTGCTATTTGGGGGAAATTGGTAGGCAGTCTGAATGTGTGCAGAACACAGTATTGATTCTTGAGGGCGGAGCTTATGAGTAGGCGGGGCTTTGTGAATGTACTGTAAACCTTAAATTATCTTCTACGGTTAAAATGCATATTTATAGGCAAAATTAATATTACAGATAGTGTCTTAAAGTATTGATAAATTCAATTATCACACTTTGTCATTGAATATTCAATAGTTTTACAAGAGCTTTTAATTTGTACCTGCAAATATTTAATTCCTGGTGAAATTTCATTAGATTTCAACTAAATATTTTGTGTTCTTCACTCACATAATTGGCTTTCCAGCGTGTATTTCTGGATGTTTCTGTGGTAAAAGGTTTTCGGGGTGGGAAAGTTATATGTATGTTTGTTGTAAAATATGATATTGCAAACGAAAACTTTGCCGTTGAAGTCATCTTTTGTGTATGATCATTCCCTCCACATCCCAAAATCCACCAGCGAGATGGCAAAAGTGAGATTTCGCCTGTCCCTATGGCGACTGTGCATGAACTCTTAAATAAATTTCACATGTGGAATCATTTGTAGGACTAAACAATTCATCAAAGCCAGGACTGTGGGGCGGAACAGTTTCGTCTTTGGAGCTGAAAGTGAATGTGACCCAGGAAATGAATGGGGTTGTGTACACATGTCAAAGTACAAATGATGCTCTTCAGCGCAGTGTACACGAAGTTGTTAGTCTTCAAGTGTTGTGTAAGTTTTAGCTGTTAATTGACTTTATGTCAAATGAATGCAAATAATAGTTTGCATTTATTATCCATGCATATTCTCTCTCTCTCTCTCTTTGTCCTTTATTGACGCTCAATATTGTGCAAAGAGTTGTTTTTTTTCGGGATGCGATTAGAAGGAAGTGTCCACATACGAGAGGATTTTATCAAGGGGGAGATAATATAACCAGAAGTGTTCAAAATCTCACAATTTTCATTTCTAGAGCGGTTAAATTAAAAATACTGACAAATTGTTGCGACTCTTTAGATCCTCACCGAGAAACAGTCAAAGGAATTAATTTTCTAGGTTATGTAACGAATCAAAAGACAGATTTAGTGATTAATTCGAATTCCATCACATCAAATATTATGCTAAAGTCGAAAAATCAACAGTAATTGGAAAATTTAAATATTTCCATGCGAAAAACGTTGATAATCTGTGATTTTGTGAACAAAAAACACTGCAAATTGAGCTGAAAACATTGGAAGCCCTGTACATTTTCTCATCGGGAAATAGAAATGTCAACAAAAAGAAAGATTGTTGTGAAGAAGAAAAATTTTGAGCTAAAAATGCCATTTCTGTCATTTTCTACAAAAAGAAAGCTTCCAATATAAATCTTTTGAAAATCTCTTAGTTTATATTTTGAGGTTATGATCGGAAAAATGCCTAAAATTGCAAGTTTTTAGTGGGTTTTATAGATATATCAGTTAGTAAGTTCTGAGATTCACAATAGTTTGGGAATTAATACAGGAACATTGTGAAAATTCCAATTGCTGGAAGTTTCGTACAGATTAAGGGCATATTATTTTCCCCTTGGATTTTGTTAAATTCCAGAAGTGAAGGGAGAAATGCGAGAGTGAATATGGATGAGAAATCACGATGCTGTGGTGCATTATGCAATTTTAAATCAAAATCTCAACATGGTTAACACATATTTTCCCTTCATTTTTTCCACCCCCTCAAAAACACAGATGCCCCAATTTTCAACCCACCGCCATCGAACACCGTGGTCGGCGTGGAGGGTGAACCGCTGCAAGTATCTCTCGTGGCAACAGGCAATCCGCAATCGATTGCATACACATGGACCAAAGATGGTGTGCCAATTTTAAACACTGCCAATGGTAACTATATTAGAGGGGAAAAATATCACTTGCACGTTATTTATGGAGCACTTTGTGGGGGATTTGAAAGAGAGGAATTAATTAATTTTTCGCACACGGCAATGGCAATATGCATAGCATTTGTGCGCCCTTCTATCGCCACCCTTGTGTTACTTCCAGTCACGAATTGCTGATGCTCGAAAAAAACACACCCACCCATTATCCCATATAATACATAATTTATATACACTCTTCACCGTTCTCTCGTGCATTCTTTGCCCATTCTTTGCGCAAAGGAAAATGCAATTTTCCCGACAGTTGAACTTTAATCCTGCCGGAGACACAATAGAGATATAATGTATGGATAAAGGACCTAACAAATACACACACGCACGCAAGGTTTGTGAAACAACGTGAGGATAATTGAAATTTATATTTTATACTTTTTTTTATGGTCAAAAATCTTCTTCATTCTGATGAATGCGCGACAAATTTCCATGGCGCAGAAATGTGAGAACTTAAATCGCATTTAACGTGTGAAATGCGAATGGTACTTTTTGAAACAATTCCCATTCATATTCTTAATTGTTCAACAAGTAATTCTCCTTAGACAGGGAGAGGAAGGAGTGTAAGGAATTTCGATGTGAGGCACTTTGTCTAAGCTGCTTGTCTTAGAATTATAGAGCATTTCATTGCACAAACACATTCAATGATGGAACGTAGCAAAAGGTTTTCACTCTTCATGCTCAATTTGAATTGTTGATTACTTTAAATATTCATATTTCATTGGATATTTTTTTATTCTTGCTATGCTTAATGTGCCTTCATTTAATTTGTGAATCAGAAGCACTCAGTCAATACGTGGTGTTTTGGGTGGTGAAATGAACTCAAATTCCATATTTCAATTATGCGCTCACCCTTTTAAAATGCAATTACTCTGTGAGAAGTCACTCTGTGGCCAAGCGCAGATGAATTTCATGTGCGGTATTTGATATTTAGAATATTGCTATGTGACATTTCTGGACTTTGGAGCCTTTTAAGCCACCCTCCCTCATATTTGCTCGCATCGAAGGGTTGAACTCGTGTGTGTGTGTGTGCATATATTTGGCCGCTGTGCATCCCCTGCAAACTCCCCGCGCGGATGGCCATAAATTTTGAATTAGCGGCAATAAAGTGGCGCTGATTATTGTGTGGGTGGCAGGGTAATGACAATTAGGCCTTTCAATTTAGTGTCGCGAACGCGTGTGTGCATTTTAAAATGCCTCCATCGCGCGTTAGCGTGTAATGAGGATGAATTATTGCAATGCCAAACCACTTTGCAGGCATGGACAGGATCATCTCGGAGGGACCCATGCTCAACATCACGAAACTGAGCCGCGGCGACGCCGGCACGTACACTTGCGAGGCGGTGAACTCTCAAGGATCCGCCATGATCAACATCAGTGTCATTGTTGAATGTAAGTGTCCACTTAATCCGTGCATTCGCATCTTTTAATAGCTACTAATAAATGAAAACCATCTCGCAGATGGAACGACAATCACGAGCATCTCGGAGAATGTGGTGGTGAATCCCGGCGAGGACGCCATGTTGTCGTGCACGGTGGAGGGAAAGCCACTCACGTTGGAGCACGTGCGCTGGGAGAGGCTCAACTATGACATGACCATAAAGACGTCCACAACGTTTGTCAACGCCACGTCGTATTTGCACATCAAAAATGCCCAGCGAGAGGATGTGGGCAATTTCCGCTGCATCGCTGACAATAGAGTGGCAAATCCGACTAGCAGGGATGTTCTTCTCATTGTCAAGTGTAAGTTGAAACAGAATTTTCCCCCGTGTTTTTGAAGAGCGACCGTAATCTGCATCCTGTGCATCAATTAGGATGAAAAGGTGCATTTGTGGATATTTTTGCCTCTTGGCACAAAATAGTCTCTCTCTCTCTCTCTCTTGTTTCTGCTGGACATTTTAGCCATGAGCTTGAAATGAAACGAAATACATTAGTGAAAATCATTTTAGGACACCTAAACTGAAAATTCACTCATCTAATGTCCATGATAAACAATTTTCTACTAGAGAACATTCAAAGGGAAAATCATTAGTCGATTTTTAAAGGGATCTTAATGGTCTCAATCAAATATGTGGAATATCGACGGGTGAAAATGGGTGAACAAATTTCTGTCCTTTCCTTGAATCATCAGCTTTCCAAAATTGCCTCACTTGAGCTCCTAAACGCCCAGGTTTTTCTCCTGGAGCCTATTATCCATTTTCTCAAATTTTCCCTGACTTTGACGTATATAAATGCACATATCTCGCCCAATTTTCCATGGATTTTCCCCAAATTAGACTCAAATGATAGATACTAAAATTATCTACAACTTTGTAGAACATTGTGAGGATTTTAGACCACTTTTTATTGGTCAAAAAGGGTCTTTTGTGCGTCACTCGACAAAAATTCCCCGGATTTTTGACGAAATTATATTAAATATCTCCGAGACACGAAAAACAGGATTATTTTTCAACAAGTTTCGCATTCTCATGCCATAGAGCATAAGCTGCGCGCGTGCTTTAAGCTGCACTAAACTTGCGCGCGTAATCGACGTAAATTGCGTCTTTTCCTTCTATTTTCGGCGGGAACGCGTCAAGGGGCGGAAAATTATCTCCCCCTTGGTGTTTTGGGGGTGTGAATTTGGGTGTTGTTGTTGTCGCTCTTTTGGGGGCTGCACAAACAAGCCCCGAACCCTTCACATGATGGCCTGGCATGTTAACACACTTGTCATTGGCAGGTGAGAATGAAAAGTTAATTATATGACAATTAATTGCAGTCGCACCGGAAATAGATAAATCACCGCCACTGCTGAGGGCGGCCACGGGCGCGGGCGAGCGCGGGCGGCTGCCGTGTCGTGTGGAGGCGTCGCCGCGGCCGACATTCGTGTGGGCACGAAGTGGTCAGCAATTGAATGTGAATCAGTCGTCCAAATACTTCGTGGAGCTGAAGCAACTCGACTCAATCACATACGAATCGATTCTCCTCATTGAGCGTGTCACGCCGTCGGATTACGGGCAGTACGAGTGTGTCGTGCAGAATGAACTCGGCGACACAAAGGAGAATGTCAGGCTCGATATCACATCACCGCCCGACACCCCAATCAATTTGACTGTGGTCAATGTGACCCATGACAGCGTCACAATGACCTGGACGCCCGGCTTTGACGGCGGCATGAAGGCCAGCTACAGGATACGCTTCAGGTAGGCTCCAAGGCACGTCCTTAAGGCGGCACAGCCGAAGACAAAAGCCCTCTGACGAGAGCCAATGAATGAATCATTGCGTGAATAGAGTGTCATATTCCACTGATAAGCTCTATCATGTTCAGTTTGTGGTCTTAAAATTGTACATATTGCTATGCGATTGATGTCCTTCGATGTGTGCATGGATTTCACACAGGATTTATCGCACACTGAAGACACAGAGTGACGATTGACTGAGTGTCTCGCATTATCTTGTAGTTGAGATATCATACAATACGATAAGAACGAGACAAACAAACGCCAAGGCTTGAAATGTTATCAATCCGAAGAACACGATTTTAATACAAAAATTTCAAAATCTTATTGATATTCATAACAAAATTGCAGAGATACAGGCGTTTAAAGTTAATTCAATATGGCGGCGTTCGCGATAACGTGACAGACGGTCAGTTTTCGTCATATTTGGCCTCCCTCACTGCAAGAGTGAGCTTTGCACAGCTCTAATTAGACCAGATAAATAATAATAATAATATTAATAATGCATTCAGCGTGATTAATTCTGCTGTGACAGCGCATAAATGGTTGTGTGCACAGGAATTGTCCCTGAAAATATGGCTTTTGGCTTCTCTTGTTGTCTGTCTTTGCATTTCTAAAGGCGCCCTTCCTTTTGCCATTGCAGAGAGGCCAACAGTGAGCACTATCGGTATGAGGATGGACTGCCGGGTGTGCACAAGATAACGATTAATGGCTTAAGAATGAATACGATGTACTTGTTCTCCATTATGGCGTCCAATGCATTGGGCAGCAGCAAATACATGCCGGATCTGGTGAAGGCGAAGACAAAAGGTGAGTGCATTCAAGTCATTTGCTTGAGACCCTTGAGACTAACGCAACATCTCTTCCATTCGCCCCTCGCCAACATCGCAATGTCCTCCCTTTCTCTCGCGTGTGTCCTTAAGAAGTCCCACCGTCCTCAAAGTCCACTTACTCCCTCGGCGTGGCGCCCACGGCCGGCTCGCCCACGGGCAGCACCTCTGGCCTGCTGCTGCTCGTTGGGGTGGTCTCGGGCACCGTCCTCGTGCTCCTTAATGTCCTTTTGATCGGCTGCTGTCTCCATCGACGCACCCAAGAGAGAATAAAAAGAGGTAAAAGGTTCTCCTTCGGATTTTCCTCGTCGTTTGTCCTCCTGATCTGCATTTTTTCTCTGTCCTTTTTTTGTCATTTATTGTTATTTTTTGCGACTCATTTGACTGGTTTTCGTTTTTTGTTTTCCTTTTATTTTTTCGGTTCCGAAGGACTCGAAACAGTTCCGGCGGAATTACTTGAGAAGGCACAAGTGCCAAAGCTCGTGATTGTCGGAATTGGTTTGGCCGGAGTTGGACTGTTGCTAGTGAATGCTGCTCTCGTTGCATGGTTTATTATCCGTAAAAGATCAAAAGGTATTTTTTCTGTTTATTTTTTTATTTTATTTCACTGTTGAGTTTGTTTGTCAGTAATTATTGTGGAGCGAATGAATATTTTTGTGCTAAACATTGTGATTAAAATTGTCACAATTTTCACTATATAAATGCATGTTATATATATATTTCTCACGTATTGCTTGCAGTGTGATTGTGGATTGTGTGACAAATACAAGGGGGAGATATTATGGCCAGAAGTGGTATAAAACTCCCTTGAAAATGCGTTAAAATGTCACTTTTTAAAGGAAAAACCGCATTAATTGAAGAAAAGATGCTTCTTTGCACCTTTCTAGATTATGTTGTGAATTTGAGACAAAGTTTAGAGTCTTTAAACGTTTGGAAAAATCTGCAGAAGAAGTGAAAGAAGTGCATAAAATGAAGTCCTGAGCAGTGTTAGGGATATTAGCCATAATAACTCTCCCTTGGCCAAAATATACAGAAAAACAGAGAAAAATCAATGTATTGAGTTTGTGTGTGTTTTTTTTATACATATTTTTTGGTGTGTAGAATGAAATTTTATCCCTCAAGCTGGGGAGTGAAATAAATGAATAATAATGAAATTACAGAGACATCGACGCAGAATAGTAAATCTGCCACAATTGAAATGTACGCGCCCAGTTCGTACAATGACACTGTGACTGGTGAAACATTGTCGAGCGTTTCCGAAAAGAGTGATTCATATTCAAATGAGGGAAGTCAGCCTGATTACATGGTAATAATGAGTGGATTATTCATGTTTTAGCCACAATTGAATCTCAGACACTCAATCTAAATTGCTTCTCTCTTTCTCCTCTCTCTTTCTCTCTGTGCCATCATCTTCGCCTGGGCGGCGAATCATCAACAGGATGACACGCGGAAGAAGGTGGCATCGACGTATTTGGTGGAGCACAACGACATCCCGCCGCCGCGCTACCAAAGAGACGGCACTCTGCCCTGCCACTATCCCAACAACACCGTCGTGAGCGCCGGCCACACGCGCACGCTGCCGCATCCGCGGCACAACAGCCAGCATCCCGACCAGCGCTCGCGCGACGACCAGATGCTGGGCAAGAACACCTACATGCCCGCGCCGTCGCCGGCGCCGCCGCTGGACGGGTCGTACTACAACATGAACAGCGACCGCTACTTGTCCTATCCACCGATGGTGAGTGTCCGCCGGCCATCCTGGCGCATTCCTTGGAAGTTATTGACACTTTTCGATACAATTTTCATTGTTTTTTCATGCAACTTTAAAGAAAATTTCATGAATAGTTGATTTTTTAGAACTTGTTTGAATAAAATGCACGCACAAACTCTTTAGTTTATCAACTAACGCGCAATCTTTCAGTTTAAATATCAATATTAACTGAAAAATTCACAAAATATTTATTATAGAGGAATATTAGTGGCTTTAATGAGTGTTTTAGAAGGTCTTTTGGGGGGAATTTGGCAAATTTCGGTGAATTAGGTGAAAATTTAATATTTTTTCATTAAATATCAGAGAAAAAAAGGATTTTTATGGACTAAATAATCCTCAAACTGTCGGTTTTGATCAATTTTCCTCTAATATTGTGTTTGAAAAGGAAATTTGTGAATATTGCCCACAATCCGTGTCGATAATTGTCGAAATTGGGCAGATCTTATCGACATTTGAACGTAATTTGTGCATAAATTGAGTGTGTTTTGTTGCTGTCCGCAGGATTATCCGCAGATGGAGTTTGCGAACGCGCCGCTGGCGGTGAGTCTGCAGACGGCCGGCGGCACACTGCGCCGCGGCATGAAGGGAGTGGTGCCGCCGCCGGACGTCACGCATCACACGGCCCACACGAAGGGGCCGCACGACATGCAGAACTCGTCGTCGCAGACCAGCGCCAACCTCAGCAATCTGTCGCAAGTGTCACAGTCGACGCCGAAGCAGCCGCAGGGCATCCTGAAGGACACGAAGCGCAATCAGCAGCACAACATGCAGATCCTCAACGTACAAAATGCGCCCGGCGTCGATGGCAATTTGCTGCTCGGCGTGAACGCGGCGGCGTTCGATCAGCACAATCTCAGCTCCTTCAACGCCCAACTCGGCTACACGGACGCCGATGGGCATCTGGTATAGAAGGACTGCGGCGCAGCGCCCCACTTCTCCACACTTATCAATTACACAACAATAGCATTTATACTGTAATGTAAACCAATTTCGTAATGAATATATTTATGGGGGATAAAAGAATCAGTGGACGGAAAGCATACAAAAATGCTGTGTAGATTTATTGAGAATGAGATTACAATTATATGGATTAATAGATAGAATTAAAAAACTATTACAGGACAATTAATTCGGACGCAATTTGTGAATATAATTTTTATCAGCTTAATTTAACACGACAAAACAATCACGCATAATATGTGAAGCATTTAATGCAAAAAAAACCAAGGAAGAATTATGAAAAATGCATTTTTTTTAGGATAAATATTTAATTAGCACACACGCACAGTTGTGAGCATGAAAATAGAACTGCGATGATTTCACGTTTCTTTACAATATTTCTATAAGAAACCACTTTTTATCCCTTTTTTAGGCGTCTTTTCCTATCATAACCTCAAAATATAAACTAAGAGATCTTCAAAAGACTCAGTTTGGAAGCTTTCTTTTTGTGGAAAATGACAAAAATGGCATTTTTAGCTCAAACGTATTTCTTCTTCACAACAATCTTCCTCTTTGTTGACATTTCTATTTCCCGATGAGAAAATGTGCAGGGCTTCCAATGTTTTCAGCTTTTTGCTGTTGTGGAAGCTTTTTAGATCACAAAATCAACTCAAAATTTCTGATTCAGAGTCAAAATTGTCCAGAAAGTTTTCTAGATAAACATTTTCCAAGTTAAAGTCAATATTTTCGATGTTATGTTTGATTGTAGAACAATTTTCAGTGTTTCTTGTCACTGAAAGCACAGAATACTAATGTTTTTAGCATGGAAATACCTGAATATGAAAATTAATACACTAAATCTGTCCTTGATTCGTCACATAACCTAGAAAATGAATTCTTATTACTGTTTCTAGGTGTGAAATGTTGGGATAATTTGGTTGTAAAATTGTTAGATTTCTTACACTTTTGCTTATTGTATTTCATAATTCTTCCTTGGCCACTTAAGACTTCCGTATGATCTCAAGAAAGCCTCTTTTGCCACCAGGTTTTGTGACATTATTAACTTATATTGTCGAAAATTTAGAACTTTTATGCATAAAAGTAAGAAGAAATTCACAGACTATCTTGTGGTTGATGGGAAAATTGAGGAAATTGTACTCAGAAGAAGTGAGTAGAATACGGCCTAAGACAAAAAAACACACCCTCAGACACACAAAGACGTATTTTTATGTGCCAAAACGCAGTCTTAAATCAATCAAAATAGACAAAATGACAAATAAAATCCAGTATTATTTTATGGAAGACAGAGAAAAATCTATAAATAACATGAGATTTTAGCTTAGATTATGGGTGGACCTATTCATAAAGTCTCCTTCTTCTTCGAGTACTGAAGAAACCACACACAAAAGTATTGTTGAGAACGTGATAAGACTAATGTTTGTTTCGTTGAGAAGAAGAGGAAAAAAAATCAACTAAGAAATCATCTTGCATTTGAAATATAACTCTGATTAATATTGAGAATTTTATCTTTTTTATATAATTTACTAATCATAAGTGTTGAACGTATTTTATTGCCTGTGTGAAAGGGTTTAAGAGAGGAAGGGAAATTAATTTTACATTTTAAGAGAAGAAAAAAAAAACCTAATAAAATACTCCCAAAATGGAAATGTGACGCGAAATCTGAACAATCGAATATTGTACTTCGAATAGAGAGAGAAAAAACATGGATTATTATGGGTAAATTTTGTATGAAAAATACAAGGAATTAACCGCTGTTAATTTGCATAAAAAAAAATTAGGAAAAAAAATCCTCTTCATGGATAGAATAAGAAGAGGAAAATTGACAAAGGATGGATAAAGATAAATTTTAGAAATGTGTGAAACATACAAAAAAAAACTTGTAATATATTTTAAGGATAATAATTGTAAGATTATAAGAAGTTTTTTTTTTATTAAATCTGTACATATTTTGTATATTATTTTTTCATAAGTTTTATATATCAAGTCTCTTTATTTTTTTTATTATAAAATCCCGTCTTGATACCTCAGCTCGGATTTTAAGAGAGTCAGAGATGATAAATAATTAATTTATATGGTTAAATTTAATTTCTCTTTTAGTAGCACAAAGAAGAAAAAAGAATACCAAACATGCCAAAGATGTGTTGAAATCCTTCCCCTTGAAATTCATGGTCATTCAATGGCCAGAAAGAAGGAAGACTTTAAGAAGACAAAAAAAAGAGAGAAAATAAGATAAATCTTTTACTGTTAACAGTCGATCAAATTGTGATCTTAAGATCTGATCCGGAGTTGTTTTTCTATGGCGAATGAAAATCCCACACAAATGTTTGCTCAAAAGAGAGAAAAATCTTCCGTTGAGATGCCAAATTAGGATGAATTCTTAAATTAAAATCTTGACTGCAAATTGCCAAATTTACAGGAAACTCTTTTTCTTTCTCAATGTGTGGTTGTTTGACACCCTCAAAATGAATGTGTTTTTTTTTTCTATGTATTCGAATGGAGAGGACAATTTGTGCCTTAACATCCCTTGAAGAATGGATAGACGTAAAAAAAAGGAAAAAAAAGAATTAAAATTATGAACAAGTCAAAGAAAATCTCAAGTGTAAAGTTTCTTAGGCTACAATTGAAGAAAATTTAAATAAAATTTGTAAATAAGCGTACAATAATTACGGAGACAGAATAGTTATTGATAATATTAAAAAGAAGTTTTTAGATAAAAGCAAAAAGATGAAAATTGAGACAGAATTTTGCCAAAAAATAAAATAAACACACAAATTTCACGTGACAGTCAAACATCCTTGAAGACATTCAGAGAAGAAATGCTCATGAAACGGATAAAAGAGGTGAAAAAGGAAAATCCAATGGGGAGATATTATGGTCAGAAGTGGTGTACAACTTAGTTGAAGTGTGTTCAAAAGGAATTAACGCATTAATTAGGGAAAAAGAATGGTTCATTGCATCTTTCTAGGTTATGTTGTGAATTTGAGACAAAGTTTGACACTAAATAACCTCAAAAATCATTCATTTTTGCATTCAAGCTGGTTTCATTTGCATTTATTGGCGCAATAATAATGAAATCTAATGAGAATCACATTTTTTTATAGTTAGACTGTGTTTATTATGCTAAAAATGATCATAACCTCAGAAATATTGTTTTATGATATAAAATTGTCAATTTTTAGAGCTGTTTGATTGATTGAACCAATTTCAGTGACAAAGAAATGGCGTTTTCACAGCAGAAATTCGTATTGAATTCAAAGCATAAAGTTACAACTCAAATTCATAGTTTTTACGAATTGAAATACAAAACCTGTAAAGTTGCAACGACCTCTTAGTCTGGCCTTGAAAACATTCCGAATATATTTCTTTCAAGGATTTTTTTTTCAATGTCTCAAGATTGTTTTTATGTTATGTTCGAAAGTGCATCCGTAATAGCAATTTGTTTTTGTGATTTTTCACAGAAATTGTGGAAGCCCGGCCATATTATCTCCCCTTTCGGGAAAAAAAACAATCAAGTGATAAACTTATATTCTGAACTGAGCTGTTTTTCAGTTTCTTTCAATCATTTATCCAAATTTTTCTTTTGCATTCTGTGCTTAAGAGAAAGAATGAAGAAAGGAAATTAAGAATAACCTCCGGAAGATGTGAATGAAGCTCTAATTATACAACTCAATTAATAAAGACCTAAATGAGAATATTTGCTTCCATCTCATAGAATTTTTTTCTAGGATAATAAATATACAAAAAAAATGTGAGTGGAAAGATGTGACAAAGAAAAAGAGAGAAAATGAATTTAAAATAATGTAGTGAGAATAAAATGGTGAAAAAAAGAATAAACTTAGGCTTAAAAATGAGACAATTTATTCCCCAAAAGAAATCTTTTTTTTTATGCCTAAGAAATGCATTAGATGTTAAAAAAGAAGAAGAAAAAAAACAGACAAACTTCAATAATAAACAAGTTAATTTTCCGGGTGTAAAATGTGAAATGAGAAAATGTAAATATTAATTAGCTAAAGCGATTTACTCAGAAAGCAGTTGTTGATTTTAGGAACAATTATTTTGTATTTCATCGTGACTTTCTGTAATCAGAAAGAATTTAAAAGAAAAAAAAAACTGTAAAATAATGTTTAAGCCTAGAATATAAATCGGAAGAAATCATCTTAAGAAGATAAATGGATAATGGAAATTGCATTGCAGAGACACAAAAGGAGTTATATTCAATTACATTTTAATGAATGATAAAAACTGAAAAGGACAAGAAACTAGACTTAATAACAATATTAAAAAAAATCCATCCTTTTTCGTAATGTACCAATGTGTCAATAAAGTGAAAAAGTATTTATTAATGAGGAAGGGAGAAAAAAAGTATTGCAAATAAAAATTCTTTCATATTTTATATACATTACAAAAACCAATGGAAAAAAGTGAGAGAGAAGAAATATACCTTAGAAAGTATGTCAAAAAAACGTAAGGGAAATAACAGGCGGAAGCAGATGGCGCTGCATGCGTTTGAATATTGCTGCAAAAAAGAAAAGAATAAATAAAAAGAAAAATTGGATGACGACTATATGTTTTAGTCACAGACATAATGTGTTAAGAAGACATTGACTTTTGATCATATTATATTAAAAAAATAAATTTATTAAAATGAAAAGGATATAAAAATACATTAAAATAGATCTTAATGTAAATTGTTAACTCAATAATGTCTTATGAACTCATATTAATGTAGACCATAAGAGCCAAGAACTTAATAAAATTATTCTGTCATTATGAAAATGTCACGTTTTTCTCTCTGTGTGTCAAAATTAAAAAAGTTCAAAACTGGAAAATTGCGCGCTTCTCCTCGGGGAATTGCATGTTTCACGCCTGCACATTTCTCTTTCGATTCGCCTTATATTAGCTCGGAATGAGAAAAAAAAACCGAAAATACTTTCTGAAACTGTATTTGCATTTGTCCTTGAATCATATTTGGCCAGAAGAAAAAGTGTTTTCCCGGATATTCCGGGCATTTCCCAAGTGTATCCTGATGTTTCATTCTTTTTTCGAAGCGAAAATTGAATTGAACGGTTTTAGGTTAGCCGAGACACAAACCGCATTTCGACTACATTTAGACCAGTGAAATGCAATTGGATAGACGCATATCTCTGCAAACATTCAAAATAACTGCTTCTTTTCGCCACGATCTCTGCCTACAGATGCTCTTTCGACATCACACAAATGCTGCGCAGCATATGCTCAACGCTGGCATTTTTCTGCGCTTCAGGGATTTTTTTGTCTGGCAAGACAACTTCATCGCGGATTATGACGTGTTGATGGGAAAATCTCACACTTTTTGTCGCCTTTTAGGAAACAACATTAATGGCATTAAAGCAGTAAAATTATATTTATTTAAAATATGCCATAAAAGCAAGTTTTTCTTTTTATTTATTTTACTCCTTTGGACATCAATAAATGGCATAATTGAATTGTTTCTGAACTGCATTCTTCTTGCAATTGAATTACTTTGTTATCAATACTAAAAAAAGCACGTCCAAAAAGAATCTTTGCAATCGAATTTAATCTATTTTTTATGTTTAAAAAAAACATTTTCTTCTAAAAAAAACATCTTATTTTTGAATAGAGGTCGCTGGCTGTTACAACACATGCCCACAAACTTCAGTTTTTATTGTGTGATGACATTGCCAAGACGTTGGTTGTGTAAGTTAGAGTGTTTTCTTATATTAAAAAAGCAAATCCCAATTCAAACTTCACAAAACGTTCTTTTAAATTGATAATAAGTTGTTGAATTATTTGAAAAACTAATATGCGTTGCGTAAATAATGTTAGAAGTTTAAATTAAAATGTCACTTTTCTGTCACTACAAAGCTAGAATCGCTAGAACAATTTTCTTTTAAAAATATTCCGTATTTTTAGTATTATCCAATACTCGTAATTTCTTTCTTTATTAAATATATTCCGTAGTTTTATTTATTAGGTGAAGTTTCGTTGTGACTTTTAGAACAAAGATGAGCATTTGTTTACATCGTGACACACACAAAAAGCCCAAAAAGCATTGTCACGATCGCGCTCTTTCCCAAATTCAAAATCAACCACCAAAAGTCAACCGAAATCACTTGATATCCGTGGAAATATTGAGTATTTGCAAATGATTTCAGTCACACAGCATTTTCCATATCTCGCTTAGATTGTAGTTCTGAGAAAGAACCCAGAAGTTGTGTCCTATTTTGCGGAAGTGTGTGTGCCACCATTTTGTATGTCAATGCCAAAGTGTTGCCAGATGCACGTGAAAAATCCCACGCGCGTGCATCTTGTGCTGCAACGCTGCAAATGCTCGACACAGGAGAGAAGAGGCGAATATTCGCCGTGATTGAGAATCGTGCAGATCGTCTGCATCATGCGCATGCTCGACTGATGTGTCAAGCAAGAACACAACATGGGATATTTTGTGCCCAAAGTCGACCCAAAATGGCGCAAGGAGCAAAGTCAGAGTGATGAATTGCGTCCGTTTTCCCTAGTGTTTTCGCCACTGGTGTTGATAATTGTGTGAGTGCTAAAGGACATTGTGGGGCGTAATTGGCTCATGGTGTCGGATGACACTGGTGGACATTGTGATTTGCGAGCACTGTTGCGGGCGAAAGCAAGGTCGGGCGTTTGGGGCGAGTGAGTTTCGGGGGTTGGGAGGTGCGCGTACAACACCTCCATTTTGTTGATCACCTCTTGTGGCGGCCATATTGAAGCAAAAAGCACACGAAGTGGCGTTGCTTCGAAAAGGATCTGACGCCACACTTCCGGAACACATTTTTCTGGCGTCGTTGTGTTTTTCTCTCATTTCTTGTGGGGTGATTTTTTTTTTCTTTGGGGGCGCGCACATGTGACGTTGTGACAGCGCTAAAGTGCACGATATCGCAAGTTGTGCTGTTGACAGTGTAAAAGAGCATATCTGAGGAGGCGCTGCCGTTTTTTCCCGTGTCTTCTTTGACGGGTGGATTTTTTTGAAGAGCAGCTCGCTTTTCTCACCCCTTTTCCAGCTCTTCTGCAGCTATTTCCACCACTTGCTGCCCGGAAATGTGTAGATAGTAGGTGTGAAAGGTGAAAATGGGCGAAATGTGGGTTTAATTGACTCCTGTTGTGTGTGTTTTCAGGCCGCGAGCGGAGCGCAATGGTGCTGCAGAAGCGCATGGAGAGGAGATTCCTGAGTCTGTGCCAGTGGTTCGGCGTCCCGGCGGACGCAGTGCTGGCCAGATGTCAGCGGGAGCTCCGTCGACCGCGGCGACGCCACGCGACGCTGTCGCTCGCCTGGCGCAGCTTCTTCGTGGGATCTCGCGTGGTGCTGACAGTGACGCCGTACAGGCGCTTCCGCCGCGAGGACAAATGCCTGCACAGGCACTTCAACTGGTCAGAGATCTACTGGCACAAGTTCAACGGGGCGAAGCTGCCCATCGCCGAGTATGTGCGGAAGCGGCAGGAGCGACGAGTGGCCAGGAAGTTGGCGAGGAAGAAGAGCAAGCGAAGAAGAGTGAAATCCACCGGAATCAAAGCAGACAAGGCGAATGATGAGGACAGTTCGGACGAGGTGCAGCTGATTGAGGAGCGTCTGGTGATCAGTATTGACAGTGAGGATGAGCAGGAGTGTGTGCAGATTGTCGCGGAGCCTCAGCAAGTGTCATTCCCAAAGATCGTCAGTGTGAAATCGGCGGGAACACTCGTGGACGCCGTGGCGAGTGTCGTGACGCCATCACGGGCGGCGGATGAGGAGCTGAAGCCCACCAGTGACGAACTGGAGAGAGCGAGACACATTTTCGCCAGCGCTGACGCCACGGATGATCAGGAGAGTGACAAGAAACACGCGCATTCGGCTCTCTATTCTCTCGACGACAGCTTCACGGAGTCCGAAGGCGCGAAATCGCTGAATCAGAGCAACGACCGGACTTTCCTGGACTCGCTGGCGCACAAGCTGGGCGTGGAGAAGTGAGTAATTTGCAATTGTAGTTTTATCAAGTTATGATGGATCAATGAGAGAAAGCTTTTAATGAGAGCTTTCCAATGAGCTGTAAATTCTTCAAATCGGTTAATTAGGAGCGAAATTAGGGCAATTTAAAGTTTCGGACTTTGATTCCTAATATCTAGTGTCTGGAAGAGCCTAGATCCATAAGTGTGGGTTTATTGGAAAGGTCTCGAGGTCAGCTGTAGCATAGTACAGTTTGAGCCTGATTTTTGTCATAGAGGCTGAGTAAATGGGGAAAAGGTGGTTTTTTGTTGTCCAAAATGGCCGATTTCATCGTCTAAATGCTCTTTCGCACACTTGGCAGGGCCGACGAGGAGGCGAAGCAGTCGCGCGTCGAGAGGGCGTTCGATGACTGCTATCAGGAGCTGGAGAAGTCCATCCTGAAGATCCACCAGGTGGCGTCGAAGTTCGACGGCGTGGTGAAGGACGAGGACACGTCGTCCGGCACGGATGAGTTCTACGGCTTCAGCGAGAGTGACATCTCGACGCCGGGACTGCTGCCGACGCCGCTGGTGCGCCAGGCGGGCTCCAATGCGGCCTTCATTAGTGGGAAGTGCGACAAGATGCTGCAGAAATTGGGGCCGATCAATGTGGAGGACCGGCGGGAGGCGCCGCGGCAGTGGACGGCGGATGAGGAGCGCATCAACAGGCATTCACAGCCGCCGCGCCTCGAGTGTCCGGAGATTCCGCAGGACATGAAGTCGAAGACGCTGGCGGAGAAGAAGGAGTTGCTGCGCATGAAGCCGGTGGGATATCAGGTGCTGGATCAGGAGAACAGTGTCTATCATCTGCTGAAGAAGCGCATGAAGGAGCCGGTGAATGACAAGCTGTACGAGACGGCGAAGCGCATCATGCGTCAGCCGGTGCCGATGCGCCGCAAGATCTGGCAGACGGCCACGTGGCTCAATACGCGCCAGGATCACTACATCTATCGCTACATCACGCACGCCGGCCGTGAGCTGAAGCTGTTCGGCTGCGTGGGCAATTTTCGCAAGAAGCACTGCTACAACCTGGACACGCCGCTGCCGCCGCGCAACTACACGCCGCGCCGCAAGTTGCCGTGCTGCCGCAAGTCTGGCTATCCGAAGAGGATGAAGTTCAACAATATCCTCAATCAGAGCCTCGAGGAGACGACAAGAGTGGACACGGAAGGCGCGTCGGCGCCGCTTTCTTCGCTCCACAACTGCTCCAGTTCGGTGAGTGTTTTTGCTTTCTAATAATCCATCACAAATTCTGCATATTCCATGGAATTTTCACATATATTTCCATCCATTCCTGGTTATTCTTCAATATTCCTCACTTGAGCAATCCTCGAAACAGAGAAAAAATGCTCTTTTTTCCCTTCGCAGCAATTGTCGCCGGTGAAGAGGAAGTGGAATCTGATTGAGACGCGGCGCATTCCGCCGGGGCCGCTTTGCACGAAGCCGAAGAATGTGGAGAAGAATGAGAATTTGGCGCCGCTGGAGACTTTCGTTCTGCCGCGAATTCATCTGCAAGTGACGCCACAGTTGAATCAGCGTTTCCCGCCCAAAGTCACCAAGTACCTCAACGTCTTGTGTCCGTCCGAGCGGCTGACGGACGAGTGGATTGGCTACGCGTTGTGCGCGCTGAAGAATGCCAGCGACGGCGGGAAGATGGTGGAGTTTGAGATTCCCTACGAGAATGACCGGCGGAAGATTCTCGTGAGTCGCGAGGTGAATCTCAGCGGCGCGCGGCGCGAACGCACGACGGAAGTGTTTGACGACTCCGAAGCGCTGACCTTTGCCGGCGCTTGTCCGGAAGACGAGTGCGCTCAGGCGCTCGCGGACATGATTGACAGCGTGGCGATTGGAAGGAGTGAAGATGCCTTCACAAAATTCGATCCCGACTTGGACTACAGCCGGCGGGAGTCACGCAAGAGATCGCTGGACGCGACAGACAAGGACGACTGTCCGAACTTCAAGAAGCCGCGCTCGAAGAACTCTTTGCTGTGAGTTTTCTGTGCCGAAAGCCAAAGTTTTGAGCGCTGTGAATGCTTAAATGTCTTCAATCTCTTCTTTCAGATACGAACTGAAGCGCCTCAACGCGACCATCATTAACACTGAGAGCATTTCCAGCAAGCGTGAGTATTTGTCGACTTCTTTTTATCTCTGTTCTTTATCCTAGCGAGCCAAAAAAGCTAAAAAAAAAAGTAGTTTATTCAGCTAAAAAGCGCTAAGATTACCGAGCTAAAATTTCAGCAGAACAAAAAGTTCTGAGCCGAAGTATTGAAATGAAAATTCAACAGTGTTAAAAATACATCAATTTACAGCACATTTTTAAGCTAATTTTTCATCGATTTTCTTAGCAATTGAAGAAGAAAAAAATTCTGCTCTTTTTTTGCTAAATATTGTGCTCAATTTTGAGCTTTTTCTGATAAAGATTTAGCAGGAAAACAGGAAGTCCAACTTTCTGTAAATCTCTCAATTTTGAGGTTATTCGCTTGGCGTTATTTATACAATTCACTTAAGTGTTGTAATGACAAAGTATATTATTGAATTGGAACAGTTTTACATGATATTTTGGTTAAATTTCTTTGTTTTCAAGGAATTCTTTTAACATAACCTCAAACAACACAAACTTTCAGAAGTTCTTGATTTTCACTAATCTGGAAAACGTAAGTTTAATCTAAACCACAGAAAAACACTTCTTCGCTCTTCTTCTTCGCACTTCGGAGGGTCGCAAACTGTATTTCCCTTGGGTGAATGGATCTTGTCTGCAGAATCGCAAGTTGACGAGATTCTTTCTGCTCGTTTTGCAGAGAAATGCAGCAATGAGCACTGCAAGTTGGGCTGCCTGTGCGACAGCATTTCGTCACTCTCCTACCCAATTGGCCATTGCGAGAAGGTTCAGTGCATGTTTGAGTGTGTGTGCAGGAAAGGCCTGGTCATCAACAACACCGCCGTGAATCCGTTCAGCAAGGAGGTGTTCAGGATGCGCGACAAGGCGATCTCTCGCCTGGCGCGCGCCGAGAAGGACTTCAGCTCGACTGTCGTGCTGACGAACAACAACACTTTTTTGCTCAGCAACAGTTCGGAGGAGAAGAGCAAGCGCAACCGCGTGGCGCCGCGCAAGTTCGGCGACTACGTGAGCTGCGAAGTGGAGGAAGGTGAGGAAAAGAACTGTCTGGGGTTGTTTGGCACTTCTTCATCTGTTCTCCGCCGCTTTAAGTCGCTGTCTCGCTCAAGGAATCATTCTTTGCTTTCACTTTCAGCACGTAGAAATAGTGAAAAGGTCGAAAAGACAGCAAACTGTAGGACTTTAACATCTTTAAAATGCCCTTCAATCCCTAAAACTAACGGTCGTTGCAACTTTACTTTCATATCATAGTAAATAAGATGTAAAAGTTATGAATTCGAAAAATTGCGATTTATGGCATTTACGAAACTATTGACTTTACTTAAATGTAATAATTGTCGTGTGTTAAACCAATTTAACACAATTTTAATATATTTTGTGTGACTTAGAATTTGCCAATGAATTTCACGAGTTGTTTAATAACTCTATTTTCTATAAAAAGAGGCCAATTTTACTGTAATCTCATCGCTGAAAACACTTTTGAGATACTTGAAATGCAATTGTTTGTAAAGTTGCAACGACTTCCATTTCTCTTGAGACTTTCACTGATCTTCACACCACTTCCTGTCCACATTATCTCCCCCTTGTCGTTTCTCTGTTGTGTGCTGAACAGCTTCTGACTTCTTCCGTCGCAGGTGAGACGAGTCCGCGGCCAGTGGTGGACACGGATACGCTGGTGAAGTTTCCACAGGTGAAGAGCGCGAGGCGCGAGCGTGCGATGCGCCTGGAGCCGGATCTGGAGAGGATGCGCCACACGAGTGTGGTGCTGGACAGGATTGACGGCGCCGTGGACGCCCTGGAGCCGTGGTGCATGATTCATGAGCTGTACAGGTGCTTCTGCAAGTGCGAGGCGACGCACGGAAAGCCCTTCCTGCTCAAGCAGATCTCTGAGACGTGCTTCGCCATGTCGGAGGAATTGGTGGCGAAGCCGAGCATCTACAGGGCGTCATCGTCCAAGGCGAAGATCCTGTTTGAGCCCGAAGCCACGCGGACGCGCGACATCGCCTTCATGAGCAGCTCCGGCAGCAGCAAACCCTTCGAGCCGCCTAACGCCAAGGCGGCGCTGACGCCGGAAGCGGAACATCTGGCTAATTGCATTGCGCAGACGGACGAGCCGGAGGACGCCATGATCACGCAGTACATCCGGTCGCTGCACAAGGGCTACAAAGTGCCCGAGCGCGTGTACAATCGCGGCGAGCTGACGGCGGCGCTGCTGCGTGGGACAGTTTCGCGATGCTTGGCCTTCGACAAGACCACGCAAGTGTTGCTCAACAAGCAGAATGCGCCGCGCGTGAAGAAATTCATCTCGGCCATGGAAAAGACGCCCAAGATTCTCTCTCTGCTCACGCAAAGGTGAGTGTTTAAGCACAAGTTTTCCCTCAAAATCCAGCAAAAGTGGCAAAAAAAAACGCCTTTTCTTGCTTTTGAAGTGCAAGTTAAAGCATTTTAAATCATCAATGCACAACATTTACTTTGGATTAGTTAGATTTCGGTTAGATTTGAGTCGGATTTTAGTCAAATCACTTCATTTTGCAGATATCTTCAGTCGGTGTGCAAATCGAAGAAGAGTTTGCAGATCGAACAAGCGCCACACATTGTGATTGAGTCCAATTCGGACAAGGACGATTCTCTGCCGCCGCCGCCGAAGTTCGCCGATCCGCCGGCGGAGACTTCCGTGGCGGCGGCAGAAGTGTCAGCGGACGCCGAGGACGCGCAGACGGCGTGGCAACAGTCGGAGTCGCGAAGCGTCGCTGAGACTGTCGTGCCGGTGATTTCCTCCGTGACGTCACTGCACGCGACCGAGACGAGCGACAGTCAGCCGGCGGTGAATGAGGAGGAGGTGCGAAAGCCGCTGCTGGACAAGATGAACATGTGTGTGTCGCGCATGATGAACATCATTGCGAAGAATGAGGAGAAGCGCAATCTTGATGTGCCGCAAGTCAACAAGATCACCACAATTCGGTGGATAAATTTGCTGAAGGAGTTCCGCAATGTTGGCCTTCACATTCTGGAGCTTCACTATCCGCAGAAGACTTTTGTGGTCATCTCGAAGACGAGGGAACTGTCAAAGATGCCGCCCGGATGCACAAATGTCTGCGACTTGAGGATGGCCAGGAAATCGCCGACGACACAATTCGGCCGCATGATCAATTTGGGCTACAATCTGCCGATGATTGACAACGTGGCGGCGCTGCTGTTCGGCCATCAGGATTACTGGCAAGTCATGGGCTTCATGCACAAATCCTGGCAGCCGCAGGAATCCGCCAAGTACTTGTCCGTGACGCACAGCACGCATCCGGAAGTGGCGGTGAAGATCTCGAAGCTGTACAGCATTCTTCTGGCTCAAGTCACGCCGTCCAGGTGAGGAAGCCAAATTTCCACACTCAGGGAGCAATTCTGAGTCAATTGTGTCATGTGTTAACTCCTTAACATGTGTTAGGGAATCAAAATATTACGAAAAAGCAACGAATATTCTGTTATTCTCAATTCCGTCATTTTATTCGAGAGATAAAGGTGATTTCTTCATCTTTTACAATAAACGCCATCTATTGGCCCCTCACAGGGTTGTTTGGGAAGTCCTTCACGCTGGCCAAGAAGGGGTTGTAGGCTGTTACGGTCAGAGATTCACACGATTGAAGGACAGGCTGAATTTCGTCACACTTTTGAGCGGTCGAATTTAGACATTTCGGTGTAGAGTTGTGCTCCCGAAGTATAGATTGAGATGGAAATCTGGGCAAAGCGTCATTTGTTCCACTCGTAAAATGATAATTTGAAGAGAAATGCTTTAATTTCGGCTTCAAAATAATCTTTCAGGGAAGAAATGTAGAATATTAAAAAATTTCTAATTAATAAATACTTCGGTTGAGTTGTTTATCTGAGATTTGTGTAATTGATCATAATTTCTCAATTTTAGTTGAGAATAGTCAATAATTAGAGACATTTTTTGTACTGAAACAACTAAAATCTTGTTATAAAGAGAGAAAAATCTTTTAAATTTTTTTATTTTAGTACCTTTTTTCGGTGTTAACACATTTAAAACTACGTAATTAACACACTTTTCATTGACATTATTTGTAGAAATGATTTTTCTCGTACTAATGTGACATAAAATGTGATTAGATTTGTGTTAAATGCTGCTTAACACATCGAACATGTGACTCAGAATTGATTCCTTTGCGTCAATTTGCTTATTAACACGACTTTCGCGCAAAAGGAACTCTCCGGCGGCGTCCAATGTGCGCCTGATGACGCAGGACGAGGTGCGAAGGGCGCGCATGATGAAGTTTGCGCTGCCGCGGCCGAAGGATCAACGCTGGTTCATGCTGATGATCACGAATGACTTCTCGGACATTTCGCATCCGCGCTGGGGACAATTGCTGTCGTACGATCGCATCCGGCACGCCATCGTGATGGCCAGGAAGGCGGGACGCACGGTGGAGGTGACAAGCAATGCGCCATCGCTCAATCCCAGAGTCTACGTGGCGCCGGATCACGGCGACAGGATCTTCATTGGGCCGTACAATCTCACGGAGGAGTGCAACATTGTGCTGTACCAGCGCATGGACGGCGCGATTCTGCTGCGCGAGACGTACGAGAAGATGACAAACATCCAGAGGACCACCTCGAGTGTGGGATGCTGGATTCAGTCGAAGGAGTGCGCGCCGGACGCCGCGGCGGCTGCGCATCCGATCCACGAGACTCCGGCGACGGTGAAAGAGGTGAAAAGACCAATTTCTTTATGAAATTCCAAATCCATTTCATCCAATTGAATCCAGAAAGACTTTTGCACAAATTCCAGCGCAAATCTTCCACATAAGAGAATTTAGCACAAGATCGTGAAGTGTCGCGGGTTCGATTCTCCTTCAGTTGCGATTTTTTCACTTCTCTTTCCTTTTTCGTGTATTTTCCTTCACTTTATATAAGCATTTTGCGCTCAATCTTCGCATAAAGCTCTATCTATTTGACATTTGAATACTTTAAATGAAAATGTTTTAATTTTCTCTAAAGTTCCTTAATTTTATGGAAGATTCAGAGGCATAAATTCGATTTAACAATTAATTCTGTATATTAGCGACTAAAGTTTGTCCAATATTTTCTCCTGCTCTTCCAGGTGCGGAATGATGCTGTGATAGTGTTGTCGCCGACGAAGAGTCAGAATGACGATGACGATTGTGTGCTGGTCGAGGCGGATCCGAGTGAGATTAAGGCGGCTCAGGAGGCGCACGAAGCGGCCGAAGCGGTGAATTCCATCCTTCCGGATGGACTGAAGTTGCCCACGGAGCAGCCGAAGACGCAGTTGAGTGCGCAGCAGCAGCAGGAGGAGGAGCAGGAGCGGCCAAGCGAAGCGACAGCAGTCGAGAGTGACGTGGAGAACGTGAAGCGGCCGAAGGTGCGCCGACAGTATCGGAAGCGCAAGGCTGACGACGACGAGCATCCGCAGCTGAACATCAGAGATCTCACGATAACGCCAGTGAATGACAACGAGGACGCGTCGCGGTGGCCAATCTTGAATGCCACACCGTCGACACTCACGATTCTGCCCATTGAGGAGCCGCCGGCGCCGTCGCCGCCGGAGCCAGCCTTGCCGGCACTGCCCGTGATCACGATGGTGACTTCGGGGCATCGCGAGAGTCCGCCGCCGATGCCCGTGATCTCGAAGGTCGTGAGTCTCCGGGATGTGGAGAAGGAAACTGTCCAGCAGCAGCAGTCGCTGCTTAAGAGCAACGCAAAGCCGCCGCCGCGGGAGAAGGAAGAGACGGAGAAGACGGCGAAATTGACGCCTTATGAGAATGAATTTGCCCAGTATTTGGAATCGAATCCCGGCTATTTGCCGAGTTTGCAGTTCATCAATCAGATGTTGACGCAACAATCCAGTAAATCCGGCGCTGAAAAGTGTCCGGAAGTGTCCAAGAAGGCGACAGAATCGGCTGATCCGCCGAAGACACACGCCGCGGCGCCACTTCCCGCTCTGGTGGTGAGTGACGCCGTGAAGAATGCCCGCAAGCCAAAGAATCTCCCGGACGCCGTCAAATCGCCGGCGATCGTGCGATCATCTCTGCCGGTGGCAAAGACAGAGGCTGGAAGTGCTTTGGCCACGCCTAGCGGCGGTGGCGTGAAGGTGTTCACCACGACGGGCAAGAAGATGATCATCCATCCGCTGTCCATGAAGAAGCCAGCTGACGCTGCGCCGCCGAGTGCTTGCCAGAAGAGAACGACGTCTCCGCCGCCGCTGGTGATTCTGGAGAAGCGACAGAAGCTGGACACTGATGAGGCGCCAGAGAAGCCACAGGATCCGCCGGCGACAGAGGCGCCAGCAGTGATGCTAAAGCCCAACATTACCATCAAGAATCGCGTGACAATTGGACAGACGGTGTTGCAGAGGATCTCAGTGCCTTCCGTGGCGAGTAGTTCTGGCACTGAGAAAGCCTCCACAGTTGTCACTACTTCCACCGCCGGCGCCAAGTCCGTGCCGGCGATCATTTGCAATGGTTTGGGCAATCAAATGATGAAAGTGCGCGTGAATTTCACTCCTCCATCAACGCCATCCACCAGCACGGCTTCTGGGCCGCCGCCACCCAAGAATACTCCAAAAGTCATCCGTTCACCACTCAAGATCCTCCCAAAGCCCGGACCTTCTTCATCCTCCGCCGCTTCTTCACTCTCTAGCACGGCGCCAATCATGCTCACGCTTCCGGACGGCAAGCAAACGCTGACTTTCACGAGAACCACGGCGGATGGGAAGGAGACGAAGTACGTTCTGCCATTCACGAAGCTGCCCAACACGAAGATCAAGTTCATCCCGGCGTCACCGAAGGTTGTCGCGAGTGTGGAGCCGAGCGAGCCGAAGAAGATCGTGGAGAAAACGGTATTTCGCATCAAGGTAAGAAAATCGAATGATTTTATTATAAGGAAATGAGCCAAGGGGGAGATAATGTGGATTGGAGGAAGTGGAATTTCTTCACTTAGAAAATCCCTCAAGGAAAATTAATTGGAAGTGAAATTTGTCGATTAAGAACATCAATTTGTAAGTCGGATTCCCTAGCAAAACACGAAAGCCATGTCGAATTGGTATCCCTGGAGAGCTTATGGAGGCAATGCCACTGTCATGGCGGCCTTTTCCTCCTGACGAGATTCTCTCTGGTAGCATTGAGTCCCAGGAGGAGTTGGTTACGTATAGCCAATCTCCTAGAGTATTTGGAACTTGAAATTGTAGTCAAAGACAGATTTAGGGTCAAACATAACCTTAAAAATATGTTTTGGACATTGGAATTTATGTTTTGGAATTCAGTTTTCTGCCGTTTCCTCGCGGCGGTCGGCCGTGAAGTCGGCGAGAGTCGCAATCATATGGAAAGAGGATGAATACAATTATTGCCACCAGGTGCCGCCGGATCCGGAGCGGCGAAGTGACGTGATTGAGTTGTCGGACGAGGAAGAAGCGGCTGCAGCGGCGGCGGCCGCAGTGGAGGAGAAGCAAGCGGGGAACTTCGCCGAGGAGCTGTGCAAGAACATGAGCAAGGAGAAGATGGTGAGTGGAGTGATCGTGTCGAACATTCCGCAGCTCGGTCACATCAAAGCCCGCATGACGGACGACCTGTATTACCACCTGCAGCTGCCCACGCGCCGCCATCCCTTCAAGGTCGGCCAGAACTGTCTCGATCGCTACATGGACCGGTGAGTGATGTTAACATGCGAAAGTCTTTGCAACTGCTTTCAGACACACTCATGAGTCAATACTCGGTTGTCAGAGGGTAATCAGTCGGTTTTCGCGACAGCGAAGAAATGTAGGCTCTCTGATGTGAAAGGCACTTTCTGAGACTCCGAAAGTGCTGGATTTCGACTGATCTGTCGTCAATTGCAGGTACATGAAGTACTGCGTGGTGACGTATGTGCCGCAGGATCTCAGCGTGCGCTGGGAGTTCATTGAGCAGAGCAAAGTGAGCGAAGTGGGACGGAAGTTCTCTCTGGAGGCGACAAAGAACAAGGATCATCTTGTGCTCACGCAGTACGGCGTGATTGACATGGACGAGAAGATTCCGGAGGAGATCGAAAAGGACACTTTCACGTTCGTTCGTCTTCTCCTTTTGCGGCTGTCGTACATCTGCGGCGGCGCCATTAAACCCACCCAGGGACTGGAGGTGATAGATAAGGTAAGGAAGAACAGCTTTCCTCTTCTAGTATTGAAAGAAGAAAAAAAATATCCAAAAGACTTTCCGAATATTTATTCAATTTTAAACAAATCTCAAAGTAATTGTTTTTATTGAAATTGTGGTCTTTTCTGAGACTCCTAACAAATTGTAAGGATTTTCTGTGGGAATTGTGAAAGTGTATCTTATCTTATAAGATATGGTCGCAAAGTTGAATCGTGTGGCGAGGCAATGCTGACTCATTGCTCTGTTCTCCGCAGGCAATTGCTGTCCTGGCCGAGCTGCATCAGGTCGAACTGGGGCACTATGATGAGATGAGGGAACTCAAGGAGGCGCATCGTGCGCTGAAAGAGAAGCTGAAGGCGCTGGGCGGCGAAGAGTTGACCAGCGACGAGGCGGAAGGAACTGTTCTTGGGGAGTAGAAGAATGTTTTTTTGGACTCTCCTCGATTTCTTTCACATTCATTTTTTTCGTTATAGAAATATCGCAATAAATTGTCAAATGTATATTTGATGTTTAGCAGGATTTTCAAGGACAAGAAAAAAACACAAATTCAAATCATATTTCCATTCTGCGCTCGTCACAATTGAGGTAATAAATTCTTTGTGCGGTGGAAGGATTTACAGCGGTTGCGTGATGAGTGACAGGATCTTCTGCGGCACATGCATCGTCTGGTCGTCGATCAGGACAATGTCGAAGTAGTCCATATACTTGGGCAGACTCTGATCCACCTGCAAACCAAATTAAATCCAACAGTGAGAAGAAGGAGAAAAAATTAATGTTGGTGGCATTTCTCACGTGATCGAAGAGGAAGCCAATCTTGAGGACGTGCGACGACGTGGGAATCCCATCCGCCATGCCGGCGTCCCCAATGGAATCTCCCATGAGGATGACGTGATCTCTGGTGTGCACGAGATCGTAGTATTCCGTGCCTTGCAAAGCCGTTTCGTTCTTGTTGAAGGCGTGAATGAACTTCTCCTGGAAGCCGTTGAGGATGCCGTCTTGGTACTGCAGGAAGTTCGACACAACCTTCACGTTGGGCAGCAGCACACTGGCGTGCTTCAGGATGGACACCACGGAATCACCCAGACCGGCGGAGAACACCAGCACGGGCACTTTCTGCCGGTTGAGCTCGTTAAAGAGTACTTCTGTGCCGTCCCGCAGAGCATCCTTGAAGCGCACGGCCACGTCGTCGATCTCCTGCGGCTCGAACTTGAAGCCCCTGCAAAGTGGTTCAATGCAAACTTTCTTAACATCCCATTAGAGGAGATATTCGAGACAAGTTCTTCTTTTACAGTGACAGATTGTCAACTTGCCGACCAACCATAAGTGGTTCTAACGTCCACCTTTATATATACAGAGACAGAGCACAAGACAATTCCAGTGAAGTGTATGTTTCAGTTGGAACATTCAACTATGAGATTCGAACACATGACTGTAGCATCGAGAGTCCAGTGCGTTGACCACTCGCCCACAGCCGCTCCTCTTTCAATGTTAAACTGATGTTAATTACGCTAAGATTGAATCATAACCTCTAAAATATTGTTTTTTTTATACAAATTACCTACTTTAAAAGCTTGTTGATTGATTTTCTACTTTAAAATAGCAAATTTCAGCTCATTGTTGATTAATCTTGCTTTCTAAAAGTTCTTGAATAAGTTTCCTTCAAGGATTTTTTTTTGAAAAATCTCAATGTAATTTTTAGGTTATGTTCTAAAGTGCATCCAAAAGATCCTTTTAGAATTGAATAACCTCAAAATATCCACTGGAAACTTGAAATATTTCTTAAAAACTAGTTTCTCAGCAAGTTTTCAGGCTCATTACAGTAAAAATTGAGTCTATTTTGAGTCAAAGAGCTCTAAATTTGAGGTTATGATAGATCAGGCGATTGGAAAGATGGGAAAAATCTATGGAATTCCGAAGGAGTATTGAGAAAATTGAATTTTCAGGCACTGACAGGGTTCAGAAAGTGTTTAGAAAATGTGGACTCACTTGAGCAGCTCGTTGGACAGGCGCCACCACTCGATCATGCACTGGATCTTCTCGGGCATGGGCACCAGCGGATCCACCTCGATGGGGCGATACTTGTCGTACAGCTGGCGACTCTCCGTGCGGAAGCGCGCCGGCAGCGAGCGACACTCCTCGAAGATGCCGAAGCTGGTTAGCACCTTCTGGCCATTGTCCAGGCGCTGCTTTGTGATGGTGTGATCGAAGTCCGTGACCACCTGCAGGCGCTCCGTGCCGCCGGACACGAGCTCACGCAGGATGCGTTCCACGCGCGGCCGATCTTTGATCCTGCACTTGTCACTGCACAGCACCTCGATGTCCTCCAACCGGATCTCGCGTGCACCCATGCCGGAAGCTGCAGAACCCGGAAGAGAAAGAGAAGGAGAGGGAAAAGTCAAAACGTCACGCTTCACGCCAGTTGACAGATCAATGAAATAAAATTACTGCGCGACTAGCGAATGAGTGAAAAAGATAGAGAGAGAAAAAATAGTAACATTGCGAATTGCGTAAGTTTCGAGTGAAAACCGTGGCCAGGAGAATCTGCAAGCGGGACATAACCTAACATTGTTCGCATCAAACTATCCAAAACTACTCAAGCATCCGGGAAGGTCTTCACACTCTTTAGCAGCGCATTGTGCGGGATTCAGTACTTCCTGGGGCTCTTTTTCCGCCACTATTTTCTTCCACGTATGTCAACACTGGCAAAATGTAAACACCAAGTGTGCGCCGGAAAACCTCTCAGCGGCGGCAATTTGCTGGATTGAAGCAAACTTTACGATTGTGACGTCAGTAAAAGGGTTGCCAGCCAAGCAGAAAAGGAAACTCTTGAGCAGCATTCTGATTTTAATGGCAATTTCGGTCTTGAACACAATTTGCGAATATTTATTGCACGCTCCCATTAAAATTACTACAAAATCTTGGCGGGTTTAATGCCGCAGATTGCACAAAGAATGTGTAAAATTTGACCTTTCGTGATTCTGCCAATTGAGCAAATTGTCGCAACAATTATTTAATATAGTCGAGAAATGCTTTAAAAATTAAGGAAAAAAATCGTCAATAAAGTAAAGAGAACAAGAAATAGAGAAGCGAATAAAAGAAAATTGATCCTGTTTTTCCATTGAATTCCATTTGCGATGCTGTGGAGATTTGAGCCGCGAATCTGTCGGCTGAACATGAGTGCGACAGCACGATAAATATGTACATGAAATGTGACGAGCTTCTTTTTCCATTTTCCACCAGGCGCTCAGAAGAGCGCCACAGCGAGCGCTGGTGCGGCGCGGAATTGCCGGTGTGCGCCGACGGGCGGCGGCGGCAGCGAGAAAGGGACGGACAGGCGAGCCGGCTGGCGAATGGGGAAGAGTGAAACATAAGACAAGAACAGCATGACACGTGCCTTGGAAACAATAACGTGGACGTTTTGCTTAAATTAACACCCGGACGCCATAGGTTTCGAAGGTCTGTGATTTGGCGGCAGCGGCCAGGAAATTCTTTCACGCTCACGTTCCGGAATGGACTAGGATGATAGGAAGTGCACAAGCAGTGCACAATTTCCATGCTTTCATGTGGCTGAGAAGTGCTGAATTGCCCATGAAAGTCTCGCTGGTTAGCTGAGAAAATGTGAGCGGAAGATTTCTTCCGGTGAGCGAAAGTGTCTGAGATATTTCTGCGAAATTTTCAAGAACAATCCTCAGAATTTATAAATACATCTTTTTTTTTCTCTTAAACATTCTCTTCCGGCATCACAGAAGAAAATTCCTTCAAATTGTTTACAGAAATTTCTCTCCATGCAAATAAGATTGACTCAATCGTGTTTTCTTCCTTTTGATTTCATGTTGGTCACAAAATGTAAACAACAACTAACTGAAAAGTCATTTGCGTGATTTGTATTTATTGCAGCAAAAGTCAAGGCCTGCTTTTATCTTCAAATGACGTAAGATAAACAATTGACACACCCCCAGAAATCGCCTCATGTCGCTGCGGACAATGCAAATTGGCTGCAATTGCAGCATTGACATTGAGACTGTTGGTTTTTTTTTTTGCTGAAACTTCGCAATTCACTGATAAAGTCGCAATATTGTTGGAATTGTTTGCGAATATTTTGCACTTCTGCCGCACGAATCTTTATCGGGGGTTTTTTGTTTGGTGTGTAATTTTTGAAAAATTTCCCCGCCTCTGTGAGAATTCTGTGCGCCTGGTGAATGTTACCAATTCAGTTTCATTCAATGAACTTTTCTCACAATGTTTCACAGTAGTTTTGTGAAAGTATTAATATAAAATAACGCAGATTGCACAATCTGGAGCTGTTTTGCCGTGCAACTGAGAGAGTGAGGTTTAAATTACCTGCCACTGTATTGTGGATAAGCTCGTACTTTAGTTCAGGTTCAAGAAACTGGTTGAAATCAACGCCATGCGCATTAAAAATCATCTTCTAATTAAACCCAATTAAATCAAGATTATCGGGTTTTGCTCTGCATTACAGATTTTTACTAGGTTTTTGGCAAATTAGATAAGATAAAAAGAGAAGAAAATAAACAGAATATTAACAAAAGATTAGCATAAGCCAAAAAATTGCCTGTGTTTGCTCCAATTCAGGGCATTTTAAACATTTACCACAGCCTCATTTGCGGACATCGCCGTCTTAGCGTCGATTCTAACTTTCCGGATAAAATGGTAGAAACAATATTTCAGATTCCAAACACTTAATAACTTCAGCGAAAGCGCCAAAACCTCATACTTTTCTCATTATCGCATCTTAAGAGCCTTTGATGCAAAGGAATTGACAACTTTTCTCTTATCCAGCTTATCTGACATGTTTTCTGGTGCGTGATTCAAATGGAATTTTCTCAAGTGCATCAACAGGATCAGACTAATAAACTTGTCTTAGATATCTATCGTACTGACGACTCTCTCTTACCATTCCCCACTCAATTAACGTCGGTGCATTTTAATTGAGTGGAATTAAGAGGTGTGTGAAGTTGCGTTTTAAACTTAAGTTTTAGCATCTGCCTCGTTATTTAATAGCCAGACCAGTGTTTTCACACCGGGCGTCCAGAAGTCCCGATGCAGAATTTGTGTGGGCGCGCGCGCGAGTGACATTTTTAAATGGGGGCGCACCGCCATGACGAGAAAAGAGAGCTTCTGTGCGACTGGGCGGTCAAAAGCCGGCGCTGCCAAAATCGCGCCACAAAGTGTAAAATTTGAAACACGTTCGGCATGCGAGATACGATTTTTGGATTTCTATAATATCAGGCGTTCATGGCACGCCGGCGACGGAGTGAGGCCAGGCGTGAAGCTGTGGGGGATGCAATGCAGGCAACGACAGTCAGGGTTACCCACTGGCGTGCTCACGAAGGAGTAGGATTGAAGAGTTGAGCGGCGTCTCGCGTGTGTGTTTGATTTTGTCGTCGAGTGACAACGATATGGGTAAAATTTTGCTGACAGGATGCCAGAAATGAATCTCGCTGCGCCTCCTTCTCTCCCGGCCAGCGAAAGAGGGTGAGAGAGAGAGAGAGAGACAGAGAGAGAGAGAGAGAGAGAGGAGAAGAAGTGCATCGCAGACGCAATGGCTGAAGAGCGCGCACTGCAAAGAATCACCATAAATCAGGCGATGAGAAGACTCGAGGGCACGGCGTTGCATTTAAAATTTAAATTGGAACAATTCGCCTGCCCTTCAATTTTCAAATTAAAACACACCTCGAACGCACAATTTATGGATCAATTTGAGAAAGTATCGCGTATAATTTTTGTGGGACTTTTGATGATTTTTAGGAGATGAAATTTCCATCACAGCTACAATCTTCAGCAAAGGTACAAAGTATGTACAAACATAGCCTTTCACACTTTTCTTCCGCCATTTTGAAAACCGAAACAAGACATTTTTCTCGTTTGCACAAGTTCTATGGAATGGATCAGGCCAAGATTTTAGTATGTCATAGCTGACTTCAAAACCTTCCCAAGAAAATTTACACTTTAGGCTCTAGGCCTCTCTGAATCCTAGATATTAAGGATTAAAGTTTTCTGTTAAAAATGGCTGTAATTTCGGTTCTATTAAAATTAACACATTTTCCCCATAAAAACACACAAAGGTTGTGCTTATCCACAGTTTTTGCGTATCGCGAAAGTCATTAGCAGTATTTTCGAGACGGTTTGATCTTGTTCAAATGCTTTTCGCGCACAGAGCGAGTTTATTTTACTGTCAAATCATAATGTCAAGGTGTGTTTGGGTGCAATTATTTTTATATGTTCTCCAAATAATGACAATTGACAAATGGATTTTACGCAATTAATTCAATAAAAGAGAAAAAAGGAACGCGAAATGCCAGAAAGTTTTTGCCGTTTATGGCACAAAAGTGTGGCAATAAATTGCTAAATTTTAAACTGTCTTTTGACTGGTAAGTTTGCAATTTAACTATGGAAGATACTCTAATGCACCAGGAGTTCATACATGCAATTATCACTCTTGCAATCACTTCATCACGCCATAATTCGGCATTCATGAAGTGCGCGTATTTGTTGCGAAGGGGCGCGAGACAACGAGGTAGAATTTCCGGGATGGGAAAAAGCAAAAGGAAAGAAGAATGGTGGAGAAAAAGAGCAGAAGACAGGGCAAAAGTGACAAAGGTAAAAATGGGGTTGAAGCACTCTCTGCACATGACTTGTATTGTCTCAAATAATGTTCACAATTCCAGCCTTAAGAGTGGATTTCTGGGTGCAATAAATAGGGGCAACTTTGTCAAATACTCGACATTTACGTTTACCAAGGGGCAAATATTGCGGTCAGAAGTGGTGTACAGCTTTTGTGGAAGTGTTTTGGGAATTGGAAGTTGTAAAATATTTGGAAAATTTACATAGAGAAAGCTTCAATTTCAACAAATTGAGGCTTTTTCTGTACAATTTTACTTAGATAAATAAATTTTATTGCTTTTCTACGTTATGTTATTGATTTAAAAGAGATTTTGACAATTTAGAAACCCTCAAAATCATCAAATTCGTGCTTAAGCTGGGATTTTTACACTTTTTCAACACAGAATTGAACATTTTTGATCGAAAAAAAAAATTCAAATTGATTGAGAAAAAGCTTAAAAGTCAATCATAACCTCAAAAAAACCAATTTCCGTCTAGAAGAAAGTTTCTTTGTTTAGTTTTTCTGCGGTTTTTGCTGTAAAGTGATAAATTCAACCTCTCATTCACTATATTTACTCATTTCCAGGGTTTATAAAGATTTTAATTTGTCCAAAAAATATTTTTTAAGTTCAATTCATAACCTTACAATTGTTATAAATCAGAATTGAGTATGAAAAACAGTTGAATGAGTCTAAAAAGCGATGGAAAATGCCTTTAAAGACGTTTAAAAGTGTCTGAAGTGTTGAAGATTCTGCAGAAGAATTGAGGAAGTGTTGTACAGATTTCAGGCACATTATCTCCCCCTTGATATTTGCTTGCCGGTTGTTTTCTTCCCTCATCGCTCTTCTCAACCCTCTTCAGATATTATGGTAAGTGAGAGAGGATATTAAGAATGACTTGTGTGAATTGAAACAGCGGAAATAAAATCATAACAATTAGCAAAATGGTTTAATTGATAAGACAAGAAGAGTTGGAAAATGACGAATTGAATAAAGATTAGGCAAGTAATCATATAATAAATAAATTGTCACACGTTCTTGTACATATTGAAGTCGCCATTCTTATCATCATTTGGAGAAATTCTCAGTAACACACAAAAAATTGTTAAACTTAAAACATGTAAAAGTTTAACACAATCGAAAGGAATCTTTAAAACAAAATCAATAAAAATATTCTCAAAATTAGCATTCTAATGAACGATTTGGTGTTTTAAGGGAAAAGTAAAAATGTTTTTTTTTCCTTTTTTCCTCATCTTAGAATAATTTTATACACACAATTTAGTTTCTCATCTGAGATATTCTCTCTCCGTTGAATGCTTTAATGTTT